GACTCCGCGCGGGGGTGCATGGCTTTTCATGCTTCCAATGTCATGGATTGGTCGGCGTCGAGACAAGTGGGCTCCTGAAGGAAGTCAATACAACACGTTGAATTTGTAGGAAATGTGGCGCGGCAAAATCCTTCCATACGGTTGCGTGTCCAGCCCCTGCCTCGCGCTCTCCCCGCTCATTCCCCAGTGCCCCCGCGGAACGCCATGCCAACACTCGTCACCCGGCCCTGCACTGTGATCCAGGAGCTGAGCTATAGTAGGACTTAAGGACACTTGATGCTTATCCGAGGTTTCCTAGGAGTTCCTCTACGGGTGTTAGGATAGTGCCCACATGGCAGGCGGCTCTGCCACATGAGCAATCACATCGGGGCAGTCTTCTTGTTCGGCACTACACAAGTGCCTTCCCTGGGATCGCCTTGGCTGAGGACTGACGATAGGACAGTTGTGCACACACATGTTGAAGCACGGCACAGGCATGCCAACCTGTTCAGCGGGATGCTCCCCTGGCATCCTAGGAGCTCGATCAGCTTTGGGCCTTTGGCCTCGCTAATCCGCTCCCGTGAGACCACTCAAGGTCAGAATTCAGACTACACAAGGCCACACATTGTTTTGAGGTTTCGCGGATTGGACCTCGCTTAGCCTGGATGGTGGCCCCCAATACGCAATAGCCCTCCTCTGCCCGCGCCACCCCTTCACATCGGCACAGAGGGCTGCCCAGCAGCCCGACGGTGGGCCGAGCATGGAGGCAAAGCCAAAAATGAAGACAAGGAAAACAGTGACAGTGATAAGGAGGGTGTCAGCTTCCAAGAAGCTGTTAAAATGGGCTCAGCCCCACGAGGGGCCGGGTGATGATTCTGCAACAGGCACCTGCATTTGGGACGGAGTTCACGCCAGCATACCACTTTGAGCTATGCTGAAGCTTGTGTGCATCCTTGGTGCGCGCTGGTCAGCGACATGTTCGTGACAAGTTTCCCGGTCAACATGAGGTCGTCGTCCCCAGACACACTCTTTCCCGTCCGCCGACCGCCACCAGCCGAGTTACACGGTAAGTTTTATCGAGATCATCGAGTGAGGTGGTGTGCTTATGAACCCCCACGGGGTTACACGCGTCCCTGTTAGCTGTGGAAATCGCGTGATGAGAGACTCGAACTAACTCATGAAGCCCCCTCGCTAACCAAGTTTGCTGTGCTTGCTGGGGCGGTGCTGGTCACCTGGACTGCTGGCTATGGTGGGTGAGGCTTGGTGGTGGGGTTGGGGTTGGGTTTTCTGTGCCGTTGCGGTGTATGGCGTGCGTCTGTGCTCTGGGTGTGGGAGGGTGGTGGGCAGGTGCCGTTGAGGAGAGGGTGGGCACGGGGTGGTGCACATCGTAGATAGGTAGGTAGGGACCCCGGTGGTCGGGTCTTAGGCCCGTGTGTTGTTCGTGTGCTGTATCTTGTCTCGTCGGGTTTTGTTGTGCCCTGCGTGTCCCCTGCTGGCGCCTCCAGCTCTGGTGGTGGCTACACAAATGGGTGCTGCCGTGGGGGTGGCTTCATCCTCCTGTCATGGTGCGGCATATGGGCTGCATTTGGTGGTGGAGGCCAGGTACCCGGGGCTACTGTAACCCTGCATCCTAACCAAACTCCTGTGTTTATGGTCTTTGATGGTATTAGTTATCGAACGAAGCGAAGATAAGCTCCAATCGGCGGGATGTCACAGGGTCGCGCGGATCACTCTTCCTCGTCGTGTCGACTTGCAAATCGGCCTTTCACGATTGTGAGCGATGCGACTAAACTTACACGGTTAGATTATCAGAGTTTAGCGATTGGCTGGAGTGCTAGTGGACCCCCAACGGGAGGTCGCGCGGGTTACAGGTGACACGCACACACGGTGATGCACCAAATTTCCCCCATTCTCGTTCCTCACACACACTCGTGATTCACTCCATTCAATGTCCGTACGATGGGGCGCGCGGGGGTGCGCGTTACACCACACATGCGGTCCCACCAAATCCAACCAAGTCTGGTACGGCACCAACTCACGGATCCCCACCAAATCTGCCCGATTCGGTTTCCAATTCTAGTCGGGGAAATAACTAATCGGAGGTTGTTCGATTGTGGATTGAGACCGTTGGGCCGAACGGGAGGTAGGCATGACTACCCTGCTGCTTCACGTGTTGATGTGCTGCTGCAGAGGAAACCGCCGTACATATGCACATACATACTTACGTACTGGCTACATGTGCTGGAAAGGGATTAGATCGCAATGTTTACACGGCATATAGATTGCAACGTGTACGGCAAACCAAACACCTTCCCCCAGTCCACCGGTGGTAATGGACGGGTGGGTTCTGGAGCCATCACAGGACTCTGTTAACCACCAAAGGTGTTGTTCGTGAACCACTGCCACCCCTCGGCATTTCCTGCCACCCTCGCAGCTTCGAAGATAATCAAAACACACACCCACATCCACATAAGCGATAAGGCCAATATGCCTGATCAGTTTCGTGACCCGTCTGATGTCACCGACCCGTGGGTCGAGGACCTCCTGGCAAGTCAGCTGTGTGTTAAATTACCACACGTGTGGTCACATCCATCCATCCATCCATCCATACGTTTACATACATACATACATACATACATACATACATACATACATACATACATACATACATACATACATACATACATACATACATACATACATACATACATACATACATACATACATACATACATACATACATACATACATACATACATACATACATACATACATACATACATACATACATACATACATACATACATACATACATACATACATACATACATCAGGAAGGAGCCGTGCCGACAACCAAGCCGGGGTTGGGGCCGCAGGTCCGTCGGCGGATCAACACCAGAACGTGTGGGTATAACGGGTGGGGTATAGCAAGTAGGTGCCAAGCGAGGGGAGCTAACGATGACAGAGCTCATAGACAGCAGGACTGATTATACTTAAATATTCAAAAGGCGCTATATACATAGGGTTATAGCTCTCACTCATGCGGCTTCGGTAGGGCTGTATTGTCTAGGGGGGTTGGTGCAGGACACTGTGAAACCCAAGGCTATGTAGGCACGTACATACGTATAAATGTGAACTTATGAATGTATGTATATACGTACGTATGTTTGCAGTCAGATTCCCCCAGGACCATCCCGTCTGTGCACAGTAGCTCCCAACACCGACACTTTCCGAGGCCCCCAACACGCGCGTGTCGCGCAATGCTTTGCCCATCTGCACCATCTAAGAGAGAAGGTGCGGGGAGGTACCTGTCCACCTCTCCTGCCTTCCCGTCCTTTGGGGCTCGGCTTCCCCGCTTTCCCCCCCTTACACACACACAGACCGCAGCTATTCCAGCCCCCCTTCGATCTCCCCCCTCCTCCCGCCACTCCAGCGCTATAACCCCCTACCTACCCCTCTACCTACCTACCTACCTACCTGCCCCTGCCCCCCTTCCTTACCGCACTGCGCCAGCTGTTTGGAGATGTCACCCACATTGCCACATAGGTGGGTCACTGCGGCCTGGGCGTCCTTGGCCGCATCCGGGGGCTGTTTGCACCCACCATCACCCCAACAGCAACAGCAACAGCAACCGGGCAAGCAACACAACAAATTGCACTGGTCGGGGGCCCTAACAGCAGCGACCTAGCTGGTTTGTTTTGGTGCCCATGGACTTCTCTGACTGAGTCCTGACGGGGGACCTGGCGCAGATATTGGTTAAACGAAATATTTTATCCCTTCTTTCTTCAAGATGGCGATCATGTTCAACCAGTACGACAATCTGGGCGATGTTTTTTACATTAACTCTAATTGCTAAACTGGGAGGCAGAGTAGTGGGGGCCCTGGGGCTCCGAAACCTGAAGCTCTTTATTCCCCTGGAGCCGTACAGTCGCCTAATAGGCGAGCCGTCCAGCCCATTTGCCACGCCACACACCCAGACAACGCTCCCCTACCTACCTCCCTAATGTACAAGAACTGTATATGTCGGCGCACCGCCGTTACCAACTCTTCCCCCGGTCGGACCCCCACCCGCCCACCCGCTAGGCCGCAGCTGATGACTCACAGCAGATGCATGGGTGAACCCCCCCTCCGGCCCTAAGTTCCTCACCCGAACCAGATTAGATCGGCCCACACCGTCTATCACATTCGCCGCATTGTTTAGGCGGATCAGGAACCCTGCATGTATGGTCATGTATGTGACACGTGTGCATGGTGGCGGAGGGAAGGGAGGAGGGCAGGAAGGACAAAAACGCTTAGCGGATAAGAAAGATTGAAGGTGTGGGGGTGACGTACAACTATGATATAAGATAACTACTGCGAACATTAAGTACGATTTGTTTGGGGAGGCCATCTGGGCCGTACTTATGTGATCACCTTCTCCCTTTTTTTGGAAGTCGGGGAAATGCTGTTCCCCGTTTTGCACCCCCGCCTATAAGCCCTAAACTCTAAAAAAACCCAGTGGACAGTGGAGACCCACCAAAGGGTTGGAACTCGTACTGCGCGATCGTCCTGCCGGGGCCTCTCCGTACTGCACTACTGCTACCGCCACGGCGTCTGGCGGTGCTACTGCCGCCGCTTTTATCCGGGGCCTGTTGGGGATCCGGCCCCGTGTGGGATTCCCCTTGCATGAGAACATGTCCCTTCACGTTGATGGTTTGAGTGATGGTGGGAGTAATGGTGGGGATGGGGGTGCCACGGCTGCGAAGGAGCGGCCACCGCGAACCCCCTTGCCCTCCGCCACCACCGCCGCCGCCACCGCCGCCACAACAGCGGCCGCCGCCGCCGCCGCCAGGGCCATGTCCTCGCAGTAGTCCAGCTCGATACCTTGCTGACGTCATCAAGCTACTGCCTTCCTGACCTGTACGGGTAACGTACGGCTCTGTCACCGAGTGGCCAGTACAGCGGTAAGTCGTACTGCTTGCTGGGCTTCCGTACAGCGGTGTGTGTTTTCCCCTCCCCCGTTTCCCCTTTCCCCCCTTGTGTTCAGCCCTGGCAAGTCCCCGGAGAAGATGGGACCCGTGAGAGTCTCGATGGCAGTGACCAGCAGTGCCTTCTCGGGTCCGTGTCACGCAGCCCAAGGTGGAAGGGGGGAAGTGCCGCGGGTGTGTGGAGCCGAGAGACGCGTCATTAAGGGGGAGAGAGAGGAGACCAGGGACCCACCGGGTGAGGGTAGGCCTCTGGCCAGAGCGAGCAAAGCGGCAAAACACAATGCGACCGGCAGCATCCGACCCTTGGTAAGGAGGCGGTTTCGGAGCGTCTGCGACAGCCGCATTTGCTGTGGCACACTGCGCGTTTCCTTTTCCAGACGCTTATACGAGCGCGAGCGCGCGCACAGAAAATGCGTGTCACAACTGTGGCGAGCCATGTGTGACCCGTGGGTCGCGATACCCTGGATGGTATGAACACAATTTTACGGCGCCTTGTTGCTCAGGTGCGATGTATGTCAAACCTAAGCGGTTGGATTGTAAGATTGGAACTGCTAGTTTTAATCTTGTATGTTATTGGGTGTTCGATACGTGTTCGATACAGCTGCTGCATAGGAGGGGGAGCACCGGCGGGTATGCTTTCGTAATCACCATAATAATGATCTCCATCATAACCATGGAATTGATTTCTGTCAGCTGCCAATCGGAAAGCAGCCTGTCAATCAAACAAACTCGTTGTAAGAAGGCTCACCTATACAAACAAATACCGATATTAATACTCTGGTGTTGCTGTAAATATTTTCTGGCAGGGAAAGCCAAACCAGAACACCACCTACCTGTCTTTGCGCTTTGATGATCGCTGGTAATCGCTAATGGCTGGCAAACGAGCGACGAGCAAGCTGGCAAAGAAATCTTTGGAGGGACGGATAAAGCAAAATAGTAGTGACCGCGCGAACTGTGGCACAGACGATCAGCGATTCTTGTACCACCCAGCCCGACAATCAGGAAGTTCCGGTCCATCACAACGTTCAGCAACGGAAGCAACCCTTGTGCGTCCATAGCCAGTCACCGGCCAGATGCCATTGCTTAGCTCCATGCTTCAGCAGTTTCACAGGACAGCCTCTTACCGCCTCTTCGCCTGCGGCCCTGAGGCAGCGCAAAGCCGTCCCCCGATGTGCCAAGTGCCCATCCCCAACCAAAAATGGCTGCAATGGCTCCTTTGAGCTCCAGAAGGCGTATGCTAGCAGTAGCAGTAACAGTTAGCAGAAGCAATGACAGATAGCAGCAGCAGTAACACTTAGCAGTAGCAGTAGGTGTGGTGTGGTGTGGGCTGCGGGCCACTAGTACTCCATGTACGTGCGCACGACCAGCAAGCCATTACCATAACCCCCCCAACAACTAGCACCAGAACTAGACCAACTGCTATACCCACATGTATACCACCTCGTTAGCAACCAACGCACACGCACACGGCATCGTCCGTCTTCCTTACGTCAAAGCTGCTGGAGGCATCGCATCACATCACGCCGTTGTTGTTGTTGTTGTTAATGGGGTGTTACACTGTGGGGGGCGGCTCGTCCCGAGGAAGGACGAGCACCGTCGGGGCCCCTGACCGGGGGCCGAAACACAGCGCAGTTGTTGTTTATGTAGACTGGTAAAAAGGGGAGCAGTTTTAGTTCACAACAGAGCGCACACCAGCGTTGTCACGGCCCCGGCTCCTTGGCCCTTCGTCACGGTGGTACTGCGGTGGCACTAGCGGTGCCCCTATTATGCCTCATAACCCCGATGGTGGTGGTCGAGCTGCATGGTCTGCGACAGGCACAGCTGAATAAACCCAAACGAATGGCCGCCGCAACACTCAACCATGTGACTGATGAATAATAATACCCATATCATATCACATCACATCACATCCATCATCACAACATCTCTGCGTGAACTTCGCTGACCACAAACTAAATGTGCCGCCCTGTGGCTAAACAGGCAGCTTCCCGAGTTACCGCGGCAGTTGCCGGGCCCCTCTATACCGGCGGCAGATAAGATAAGAGGCCGCAACATGAAGTGCAAAGCGAGAGACTATCAATGAACCGTTACCCACGGGAGGTGGCGGTAGGGGCCGGTAGGGGCCGGTAGGCAGCGGGTAGGCAGCGGGTAGGTAAGTAGGTAGGTAGGTAGGTGTCTACCTGAGCAAAAAAGGTCAAATGTAAGTTCGCCAGTAGCAGTAATGCAGCGACAACCATCCTCCCCCAACATAAGCAGCTAATCCACACGACCACCTCAGCAGGTGGCGCATTGGGTGCTCCAGTCCCAATCGGAGCCCCGGGGCGAGGGCGCCTCGCTTCGCTTTCCTTCTTCTTCCTTTCAGTCGCGTTACTGGGCGCCGGAGCGGTATTGGTGGCGCCCCTCCACCTCCACCTCCGCCGCCTCCACCCTAGGTTATAACTAGTATTATTAGGCAACACACAGCCCGGGTCGGCGCTTTCTTGCAAGTGCCAACACCGCAGGGACCAACATCAGGTCGTACACCAGGACTCTCAGAAGCCCTATAGATAATACACAGATATATAAACATACATACGTACGTAAATACGTGCAAGCAGCTCCGCCTGGTTCGCCTGCTGAATTAAAAAGTCAAAGTCGTTTCGAGGGGCGAGTGGCGGGTGGCTTATACCCAGCAGCAGCGGCCGACCCGCCAGCTGGCCAGCACAGCCTGCCTCGCCTTCGCACCGAGACGGGTATCTATCTTAGCCCCTGCCTCCCTCGTCTCTTTCTCTTCCGACTCCGCCTCCTGCCCCCCACCTCCACCCTCTTCGGCACTCGCCCCTTTCCTTTCTTGTGAGCATGTGTGTTTCCATCCCCAACTTTCGGCCGCCTCCCTCCACCCCCACCCAAATCGGGGTATGACCAACCCCCCCAAAATCAGTTTCAGCTGATGGCGCAGCCACGCTGCTGGGCGTGTCGGTTGTCCCCGGCGTGTTGCGGACAGATAGACAGCTCAAACCCCGCGATCACGGGTTTGTGGTCACTGGTTCGAAGCTCCGGAACCGACATGTAGTACAGCGGCTTCAAATCGGCGAACAATGGATCTGCTCGTACGAGGTACAGCACCCGGTCGGTCCAGGAAGGCGCGCGGCGTAGGTCGTACTCGTCCGTACCGCGCAGGAATTTGAATGTGGGTGCAAAGGCGATGGGCATCTCCTTGAAGCCCTGCGGAGCGACCGAGGTGACCATCCACATGACATGTCTGTCTGGCGCCTCGGCGTGACGGCCCCCGGCTCCATTCTCAAACCCTCACCCTCACCCAATCCCTCCCCCAAACACGCAACTACCGCTATCACACCCACGCCCACACTCACCTGCAGCACCTTGCCTTTCTTCTGCTGCTTCTGCAGTTGGTCATTGGCCCACAACACCTCCACCATGTTCTCGTCAATGGCATATTTCACCACCTGATGGCGGCGGCCCCGGGGTGGCGCGGGATCCCGAGAGTTTGGGGGGGGGGAGGTGCGGGTAAGGGTGGTGGAAGGGGGTTGGTGCGGGATCACGGTAGCACTGGCAGTAGCAGGAGGGAAGAGAATATTCCAAAAGCGTGTTTTTAAGCCAATGCGCTGTACGACTGCGCCTCGATGTATGACGGCGCCAGGGAATGGGAGGGGATACGGGTGGCAGAAGGCGTCAGTGGCTTCAAGGGAATGTTGGGCGAGGGTACCTCCCCTCCCCTCCCCTCCCCTCCTGCGCCCTGCGTCCCCTCCCCTCCCTCACCTCGGCTGTTCCCGCTATGCGGTAGTTCAGGTCCCCCATCCACAGCACCAGGTCGTAGTCGCTCAGCAGGACGGTGGAGCGGCGCTGGGCGGTGGCGAAGGAGACACCGCTCCAGAAGGAGGGCAGCCGGTTGCGGAGGGCGCCCTCGGGGGCGTGTTGCTGCTGGGATTGATTGGGGAAGGCCTGCAGAGGGGGGCGCGTGTGTGTGATGGGGAGGGTGTATGTATGTATGTATGTATGTATGTATGTATGTATGTATGTATGTATGTATGTATGTATGTATGTATGTATGTATGTATGTATGTATGTATGTATGTATGTATGTTGGGAGGAAAGGGACAGTAGGGAGAGGAAAGGGACAGTAGGGAGAGGAAAGGGACAGTAGGGAGTAGTATGAATGGGGAGGAGGGGTAATCATGACCCGCGACCGCGACCAGACCAGGAGGGCGGCGCTGATGAACGCTCGTGCACCACTTGGGGCCCCCGCGCCCCCAAACAGCCCATCATCATGTCACCGGTGAGAGCGTCTCTCTGCGGGGGCGCAAACCCCGTAAAAGTTTCCAGCACCTGCCCCAGGGCCCGTACACCCATACACCCACAACGAGCCGCCAGCAAGCCCCCAAAGCGACTAAAAAGCTCCTCCCGCCCTCCTTATTCAAGAATGCCTACTGGTCAGTTCTGCTTCTTGTACATTCTTTCCTTGGCAGCAGCTTCACTCGTTCGTGGTTCGTCTTCTCCCCCCCCACTCCCCCACTCCCTCTCCCCCCACTCCGGGTCGCATCTAAGCACAGAGCAGTTCAGCAGCAGTTCGTAGCATAATGCAGTACAGCGGTACAGCAGTACCGAAAAGCTGCTCACCGATGCAGTGCTGGCCACTGAACAGACGGATGAGGTACTCAGCGCCCGGGTCAGCTGCCGGGTAGCCGCGGACTCACTGCCCCCGCCCCCGCCACCATCGCCCCCGCCGCCATCTCCCACATCGCCAGCCACGGAAGCCACGACAGTGCCGTCGCCATCCCCGCCGTCAGCCTCCATGCCGCCAAACGTCACCCCAGCCTGGCCGCGGCTGAAGCGGCTGATTGTCGGTCCCAACGGCGGTCGTCGAGGCGGCGTCATGGTGCTGGTGCGCGACAGCGCCGCCCCACCACCACAGCCGCCGCCGCCGCCGGCGCCACCGCAGGGAGGGCTGTCAGGCGCCAGGCGCCCAGAGCCCCCGATCTCCGCCGCCGCCGCGCCGCCAGCCCCACGTTGCCTCTCCGGAGTACCTTGAGTTGATCGAGGCACATAGCCGTCTCCGGGGCCCCCGTCCACGTTGTTGTGCTGCTGCTGCTGCTGCTGCTGTTGGGGTTGCTGTTCGAAGAGTCCCGCGCAGATGCGGTGGAAGTCGGCGTTTCTTCGCTCCACGTTTTGGTCGTGTGCGGCGAAGTGGGCCCCCACCAGCAGTATTCGGGCTCCCAGGAGGCTGAACCTCACTGCCACGCCGCCCTTGTTGCCAAGCACGTTACCGACTCCTGTGGCAACGGAGGAGGTCCTCACCTGAGGTGTAGGGTGCGGGTGTGGGCGTTAGTGGGTGCTGGCTGGGTTTTAGCATGGCGCGATGGGGACGGGAGTGCGAGAAAAAAATGTCCATTATGGGATTTGAACACGGGCTGAAACTTTCTAAAATGTAGATAGAGATGGAGATAGGCAGGGCGACACAATTCTCCAAAGGGGAAAATAAGCCATAAGAACCTCTTAAGGTGATAGCAATGGTAAAATATCTGGTTTGCAATCCAGGGCTTGTTCATCGCGACCCCTACCTACGATCGATCATGTGGCTACACCCACCTCGGTAATGTATGGCGCCATGGACCGTACGGCAAACAGCAAAATGTGAATGGACATAAGGCTCTCCACCGCCACTCGCACATACTGTCGACCCAGATGCGCCCCGACCGCCGCCTCCCAATCCGCCAGAGGACCGCTTTCTTGCGTGGCGAAGACGTACAAGTGCGCCGCGTCGGCGGCAGCGTCGGGGGACAGACATGACCCGCTGAACAGCGACTCGGGCAGCGCCGCCGCCGCCGGCACCACGCTTCCCATATTGAAGGTAAGGCAGTGGATCCGGATTTCGACGTTCTCCGCTGTACGGAAACCCAAAGGATCCACGTCCGCGTCCGTGGCGCCGGCTGCAGCGACAGCAGCCGCCGCTGCCACCGCCGCGTTGCCGCCGGGCCAGAACCGTGCGCTGTCAAGGGCAGACAAGTTGTCTCCGTCCGAGTCTGTAACATTAGCCTTACTGCTGGGACGTCGCAGGCCCAGAAATCGGTGGCTGGTGGTGCTGAGGGAACCAGGCGAACCATGGGACCTTGCAGCCGCTGGCGGCGACGGCGCCGTGGCTTCGGAAGGCGCCGGCGAGTCATCAGCGTCATTGCCGCCGGCATGTGCTGCCGCTTTCAGCACATTGCGCAGGCTTTTAGCTGCGCGGGGTGGCCGAGGGGCTGTCGGTACGGGCGGAGGGCCGACGGAAGCACCAGGATATACGGGCGTCGACGGCGCTGTCGCTGGTACGGCAGCGGGTGGGCTGCCATGGCTACCTATCCCTATCGTCCCTCCAACGCTAGCTCGCGATGCTGGCGGAGGCTTCGCCGCCGTCGCCGTTACCACCGCCGTCGATGCTGCTGACGCCACCTCCGAGCCTGATTCAGACGGTGCGGGCTGGGTACGATGGTTGGCGGCATGACTTGCATGGCCGTTCACTGGGCGTTGCTGCGGCTGCGGTTTCTGCGGGTTCCGCTGCTGTTGATGTTCTTGCCTCAGCAGCTGATCTTGTTCATTTTGCAGCTGCTGTTGTTGTTCCTGTTGGAGCTTACGGCGGTGTTGCACCACGACACGTTCATATCCAAAGTCCGGTTCCGGCAGCAGCGCCCCCGTGGCCAGGTGAGCCACGTTGGCGGCGGCGGCGCGAGCCAGCGCATCTCGGAGCCCATCGTCCGGGATTGTGGGCATAGACAACGGCGCCAGCTGAACTGCCCGCAGAATGGCACTAGCCCTACCACCCGTCAGTGCCGCGGCGGCGGCGGCGGCGGCGGCCGCCGCCGCCGCACCCGTCGGCTTCAACCTTGTGCCATGCCCCCCGGAACTAACGCCGCTGCCGTACCTGTCGGCAGCAGCTGCTGCCGCCCCGTCCGCTGACGGCCGCTGCGGATCGCGGGTTTCACAGCCAGATGCAGGCGGGTGGGTAGTAGCTGGCGTTCCCGGCGGAAGCGCCCACATGACGCCGGACTTCGTCGAGCTGGTGGCGTCACCGCTACCGCTGCCTGCGCGCATGGGACGGTCCCTATGAGAACCGGCCGCCGCCGCTGCCGCCGCCGTTGCCGTGACGCCGTCGGAGGGCCGCCGGTGTAGCAACAACAGCCCCGGCGGCGGCGGCGGCGGCGCCACCGTCAGCACGCCGACTTGCCGGCCGCCGCCGATAGGACTGTACGAGATATTGGACGAGCTGTCGCTGACGCGGCGATGCAAACGAGATGCTGCGCCGTCAGGTGCTCCTCTGGAATCCACAGGGCCGGCGACCCCTATCAGGTTAGAGCCTTCTCTGCCAGGAAAACGTACGGCGCGACTCGCCCCGAGATGCTGCTGCTGTTGCTGTGGCTGCTGTTTCTGGGCATGCAGCTGCTGCTGCTGCTGCGGTGACGAGGGCGGTTGTTGCTGGTGTCTAGGGTGGTTTAGCTGGCGACTGGATTGCCCCGGTGAAGGCGGAAGCTGGCTGCCGCTAGGGCCGCGGAACGGCATCAGCGGCGAAGGCGCCAATTGTCCGTCCCTACTGCCGCTGCAGGACGATTCACGGGAGCTCCGATGCGGCGGCCTGGCGGCGGTGACGTGGCCCGACGACACCCCCCTCTCTGCGGGCCCGAATACTCCTGAGCTGCCTGCCGCTGCAGCTGCGACGCCCTCGAAACTGCTACTGCCGACTCCAACTTCGGCCAAGAGCGCGCTGATGGTGCTACTGCTACTGCTCCGCCTGGGCGCTGAGCTCACGCCGCCGGGTGCTGTTACTGCCGCTGGCAGCAACCCTGCCGCTGTAACCAGCCCTTCCCCATGTGACACCGCTGCCACCGCCGCTGCCGATCCCGCCGCCGTCGCCACCGGAGGCGGCAGCGGCAGCGGCGGCTTCAGGTGTGTTGGTGCATCTGATCGTCCCGTTTCCGAGCTGGTACTGCTCGCCGGCCGCGCAGCCGCCACCGCGGCACCACGCTGGATGGCGGCGGCGGCGCCGTCTTCCTGGGCGGCGGGAGAGGCGGTGCTGGAGGGGAATAGCAGCTGACGAGCCGCCGGGTCGGTGATCTCTTGCTCAGCCAGCACCGATGGCCCCGGGGGTGTTACAGGACCGGCAATCACGGTGCCCACGGCCGGGGCGCCCGTCGTAACCAACGATGGCGACTTGCGAGCAGGGGTTCCCGTCTTGGAGCCCTGAGTGGTTCGCTGCTTCTCATTCGGACTGGAGGGGACCGGGCCACGGCCGGAGGCGCCGTCGCGGCCGCTGGCTTTCCGCGCTTTTGGGACGCCGCCGCTTGCAGCGGCTTCCGCAGTCGCGTGCAAGATGCCGCCGCTTTCGCTTCCTCGTTGCAACCTCCGGTGCGCAGAACCCCCTGAACTGCTACCGCTACTTGTATGAGAGGCGCGGCTGGAGACCAGCGGGTTGCCAGGAGTGGCGGCAGCCGCAGCGCTGGGGACTGCCTGCCGTTCGAGGTGGGATGGACTCGAGGGGGCCATGAGGCGAATGGATTCTGCTGGGGCCGGACGCGATGCTGCAGCCACCGCCGCCGTAGCGGCGGCGGTGGCTTTGTCCTTCACGGTGGAAGGGCGAGCTGAGGCAACCGCGCCGGGGCGAAGATCTCAAGACCTCTTGAGATCAGCGCCGCGAAGCGGTGGCGTGAATGGGAGAGGCAAATGGGGGAACAACTGCTTACGATGATGCAACTGGGCGATGCGGGTATGGAGATGGCAAGGCCGAAGCGTGCGGGGAAAGAGACACGCGGAGATGGACGTGGGGACAGGATAATGGACTCTACGGTATGTTGCAGATATCTGGCAAAACGCGTGATAGGGCATAGGGTGTAACATAGGGCCGCGGGTGTTGAACGGGAAGGGCAGGGTCGGAGGGCTCCCAAGCTAATGTCAACTCGCGCGTAGTCACACAGAAACTCTGCCCATGGTGGTTCAGTTAGGGCGGGACTTGGTAACTAGGGCCTGGGAAGCATACTGCTGCGACATGGCGACAGGTATGCTAAAGAAGCGGGTTTCGCAATCCATTCGTTTTGACATAGTTCGACTATCAGTAGTACAGAGCGCTTTAACGAACAAGTGGACACGTCCGCGGTGGTCAAGATGCGCAAAGGGTTGGCGGTGCACAAGGAGCCATACCTTGGTATCATCGTTCATTGTTCATGGCGGCAATCTAACTGCCGGATTGGTGTTCAATAGGTTTGAAAGATGCCTGAAAACTTATTCCTTGCACCTATTTGTAAATACTCCAGCTGATGTTCGTAATCGATCGAGGCGTTATCTATCGTTTTTATATAACTAATTAATCGTTATAATGCACACGCCTTCATCCAGCAGTTAGCTTGAACGATTCCAATAATTATCACGACGATGCCAAACTTAGAGCGTGAGGGATAATGCTGTCTGGTGATATAGACTAACACACAGTGACCGTCCAGAGCGTCCATAGTGTGGACTGGTGCGATTTTTGGGACGCTCGTCAATAGGGCCCTTTGGAGTGGCACCCCAATTTGATACTTGCGTTCCCTGAATACTCAACAATTATGCTTGCATTTCAAAGATGCATGCGATTTTGGTTTAAGGATTTTGGTGTGATCATCTCTCTGCCACAATTTGGGTTGCTCAGGCAGAGCCGACTCCTGCAAGGTCGCCAACTCTTTTGCACTGGAGAGCGGCCGCCGATCATGGATGTCACTTTGACGTTTTGGGACCGGAACCCGCCTTACGCTGCACTGGCAGCGGCAAGGCTGGGTGATGTCCCGGTGTCAGCGGCACCCGACCCCAAGGCAACGAAGGAGACCATTCCAACGCTGGCTGTTTCGGGGTGAGGTGGTCATATGCCAAGTTGGGGTGGCCTTGCAGCTTACGACGAATGAGCTAGAGTTTCGCCGCCAACCTCCCTTTAGGCGGCTCCATGCTTTTGTATATGTAGCATGCGCTAGACATGGTTAGATGCCTTGGTTGATACCGTGGTGTTAAAGAGACTTACCATTTCTCATGCCCTCGCAGGGAGACGCTCACAGGCTCTATGATCTTGAAATACCTTGCCCGCTCAAGCCGGAAGCGGGATGAGCTCTACGGCTCCGATGCGCTGTCATCTTGCCAGGTTAGACAGTTTCACAACGCAGCTTCCGTGTGCCGGGCTCACCGAGTATGTCGGTTTTCTGCTTTTGTCTTTTGGCTTTTGTAATTCGTTTTCTGTTATGCTGCTGTGTTCCTGCTTTCGAATTATGCCAATTGCTGCCTCGCTGCCCTTATCGCTTTACTCCGTTCAGATTGATCAATGGCTGGAGACTGCAGCCGGCATTGTTTCTGGAGCGGCGCTGGAATCCCAGTGCGTAGCCTTAAACGACTACTTAACCCTCCGTACCTTCTTGGTCGGCTATGGGCTCACTTTGGCAGACTTGGCGGTCTGGGGCCAGCTGCACGGTAGGTTGTAATCTGTTGAATTTGGACTGGCCTACCTGCATGAGTTCGGTCACATGGCCCCCACGAGTTGGTTATTTATGGCACGCCGCCGACCCCAGAAATCCAGGTCTGGGCCCTAGGTCAGTGTGATCCTCTGACTTGAGACACGGAGTCTCACCTTTTCATTACGATGGTATGGGCGCGGACAAAATTATGTACAGTTCCTGATCTGGTTCGTGGCGTTTTCTGTACGCTTGTTGGGCAGGCTCCCCGCTGTGGAAGAAAATCCGGACTAGTGGAAAGGTTCCCCATCTGGCACGCTGGTTTACGTTTTGCTCGGAGGTACCCCAGGTCAAGACCGCTGTGGAAGAGCTCGAGGCTCTTGGCAAGAAGGGCGGCGCGCCTGGGGCTACTGCCGGCAGTGGTAAGGCCGCTGGCGGAGCCGCTGGCATTGATGGAAAGAAAGCGACAGGCAATAGCGCTGTGGCTGACGGCCCAGTTGCTAGCGGCGGCGGTGATAGCGGCGGCTCGTTTGATATCGGGTTGCCAGGTGCAGAAGAGGGCAAGGTGGTGACTCGATTTCCGCCTGAGCCTTCTGGGTATCTTCACATTGGCCATGCCAAGGCAGCGCTTCTCAACCAGTATTTCGCTGATCTTTACAAGGGCAAGCTGCTGGTACGCTTCGACGACACCAACCCGTCAAAGGAGAAGGACGAATTCGTCGAGAACATTCTGAAGGTGGGTTGTGCTACTCTTGCTCTGCTACTTTTGCTTTATGTTGTGGCTGGGTATGAACGCCGCAGTGCCATAGCACGTGATGCATCAGGGCACGCCTATGCTCTCGATTGTATAGTTGTCGTTGTATAGTCGTAAGTCGTCGTTGTATAGTTGTAAGTTACCTAAACATCATGTCATCCTCGTGCACGCAGGACATTGCCGATTTGGGTCTCCGCTATGATCGACTGACCTACACCTCGGATTACTTCCCCCAACTGCTCGAGCTTGGCGAGAAGATGATTCGGGCGGGTATGATGTACGCAGACGACACGCCCGTGGAACAGATGCGCGAGCAGCGCCTCAAGAGCATTGAGAGCGTTTGCCGCAACCGCAGCGTTGAGGAGAACCTGCGCATCTGGGAGGAGATGAAGGCGGGCAGCGAGGTCGGGCTGGCAAACGCTATGCGTTTCAAGATCGACATGAAGGTGCGACGCATACCTGCTTGTCCAACCAGTGTCACTGACTTCGATTGGATTTCTTTCAACGTTCATCTAAGCGGTGGTATCAGCGCTGGAGAATCTCTGGGAGGCCCTTGTGATCTTATGGTTACGATTTGGTTTGATTGTGGGGCCCTTCACCCATTTTGCCATTCTACTTTCTCGCTAGTTGTAGTACCGTCTTCCAAAGCTTTACTTGAGAATGTTCGTACTATGCCTTTTGCAGAGTCTTAACGGGACGATGCGCGACCCTGTAGCGTTCCGCTGCAACCTGACGCATCACTGGCGGACAGGATACAAGTACAAGGTGGGATTGCGATAGCAACCATTCCGGCACTCCTCAATTGAAGGATATGTTCTCTCTGACTTTGTCCCTGGATCCTATTTCCTGGGGTAGAATCTTGCATCCCGCCCACGTGGAGTGCGCGTGACCTCTGGCTGGTGCTTTGGGCCACGCAACGCATTTTCCTCCCACACAAATTTTAATTGACCACCTAACGATGACTTGAGGCTGAGGCCGCCTTGCGGCACTGTCGCTCTGAGGCGTTCTCTTGTCACGTTAGGAACATTAAAATCTGACACCAATGGGTAGGCGCAGGTAGGCCTCTGGCCGCTGACCTGAAAGCTCAATCAGCGGTTTTATATTGCACATTGCATCCCTAATTGGAGTGCGACGCGCGTGGTATTGCGCTCCTCGACCACCTAACAATAAGCAGAGGCCGCCTTGCGGCACTGTCGCTCTGAGGCGTTCTCTCGTCACGTTAGGAACATTAAAACCTGACACCAATGGGTAGGCGCAGGTAGGCCTCTGGCCGCTGACCTGAAAGCTCAATCAGCGGTTTTATATTGCACATTGCATCCCTAATTGGAGTGCGACGCGCGTGGTATTGCGCTCCTCGACCACCTAACAATAAGCAGAGGCCGCCTTGCGGCACTGTCGCTCTGAGGCGTTCTCTCGTCACGTTAGGAACATTAAAACCTGACACCAATGGGTAGGCGCAGGTAGGCCTCTGGCCGCTGACCTGAAAGCTCAATCAGCGGTTTTATATTGCACATTGCATCCCTAATTGGAGTGCGACGCGCGTGGTATTGCGCTCCTCGACCACCTAACAATAAGCAGAGGCCGCTTGGCGGCACTGTCGCTCTGAGGCGTTCTCTCGTCACGTTAGGAACATTAAAACCTGACACCAATGGGTAGGCGCAGGTAGGCCTCTGGCCGCTGACCTGAAAGCTCAATCAGCGGTTTTACATCCGCTTCCGATTATCTGCATGAATATCTCAACTAGTCTCTGTATGGGCTCCGATAGGTTACATGGCGTGAAAGTGCTTTCTATATGTAAACTGATGGATGCTCGGTCCACACAGGTGTATCCGACGTACGACTGCGCCTGTCCCTTTGTGGACGCCGTCGAGGGTGTGACCCACGCTCTGCGTACCTCGGAGTACCGTGATAGGGAGGAGCAGTACTACTGGATTCTGGCCGCTTACCAGAAAGTATGGGCCGGTCTGCCGCACGTCCACATTTGGGATTATAGCAGGTAAGGGGTCCGCGGCTGGCAAGTGTGATCCCGTCAGGGACTCTGAAGTGCGTGGAAATAGTTCTTGTATTTGCAGTGAATTGTGCATTTCCTGATGCGGGACTGGATGTTTGGCTGTGAGGAAAACCTTTTCTGATCTCCTTGATGAGACCAATCAACCTCCTACTCATTCTGAGCCTACTTTTGCGTTTTTTGTTTCCTTCTGTAATCTGCAATCTGTACTTTGTAACACGCTGGTTGGGCGTCTTGGCTATGTTTCTTGGCTGTGAGGAAATTCGTGTCTGATTTCCGTGATGAGACCAATCAACCTCCTACTCATTCTGAGCCAAGCTCTATGGTGACGCACCGATTAGACTGCAAGCTATATGCCCTACTTCGCATGCTTAGCTAGTTGAAAGTTATAAGTTCCGCCCGCAAGTGCGGGTGTGTGCGTAAAAGCCGGGGGACAAAGGACGTTATATTAGTTTTGACGCGGGTACGCGGGAGGCCATTATCATCCTCCCTCGTTCGCTTCAGGGCGAAGCGCCTCAGCGCGACGTGCCTGGCCTCTCTAAGCAGCGACATGACTTCTCGAACATGAACCCATGGTCTTTTGTGTTCGATTTAGCAGACGTCGTAAGGCCGCATGCGTGTTTGTTGCGGTTTTGCACACGAAGCTAGGAACTGAGCACAAGTAAATCTCTTCTTTGCACAGAGACATCTCATTGCTCCTCGCTGAAGCCCTTTTCCCCCTCGCCACTCGGCTTCACGCCAGGCTTAACTTCGTCAACACGGTGCTGAGTAAGCGAAAGCTAACTTGGTTTGTGGAGACGGGTCGCGTTGACGGATGGAACGACCCTCGCATGCCCACGGTGCAAGGCATTTTGCGGCGCGGAATGCGCATCGAGGCGCTCAAGGAGTTCATCCTGAGCCAGGGCGCTTCGAAGAACATTACGTTTCAGGAGTGGGACAAGATCTGGACCATTAACAAGAAGCAAATTGACCCTGTGTGCCCCCGACATACGGCTATCGAGGAGGACGGCAAGGTGCTGCTCACACTTGAGGATGGCCCAGCAGAGCCTGAAGTGGTGGTGGTGCCGCGGCACAAGAAGTACCCGCCTGCTGGTAAGGGGCCCGGGGCTTTGGAGCCAGAGTTTATCAGTAGTCCGGTTTGGCAGCCGTTTTTCGCTATCAGTGCTGGAGTAGGCTGGATGTTTTCCACGCAAATCGCTCTGTTCGCATTGTTCTGTAGGTAAGAAGGCTCTGACCCGGTCCAATAAGGTGTGGCTGGAGCAGGTGGACGCGGTGACTCTGGCGGAGGGCGAAGAGGTGACCCTGATGGACTGGGGAAACGCTATCATCATGGTACGTTAATATTCGATGCGTATACTGTACCTGTCCAGGTCGTAGTTGTACATCAGCCTCGTCCGTGACTCACGGTCGAAGCGTGTGGCTGCGTTCCACGGTGGCAAACAAATTACTTCGTTTACTAATGTTTTTGCACTTGTAGAGCATTACCAAGGACCCAGCCACTGGGGCGGTGATGGCGTTGAGCGGGAAACTGAACCTGTGTGGCGACGTGAAGAAAACACGCCTAAAGCTGACCTGGCTGGCGGCGGTGCCGCAGTGCGAAGTGGTGACGCTGCAGCTTTTGGACTTCGACTACCTGATTACTAAAAAGAAGGTATGTGGTGGATGAAAGGATTCGGGGCAAGTGCGAGTTGGATCGTTGTTTTTGTGTCATCACAACATGTACTTGGTTTTTTTTCCTCCAGGTGGAGGAGGACGACAACTTCATGGATCTGGTCAACCCGACCACCCGTTTCGAGAAGATGGCGCTGGGTGACCCGAATATGCGAACACTGCAAAAGGGCGAAGTGCTGCAGCTTGAGCGGAAGGGATATTATATTGTGGATGAGCCGTATGGCGTGAAGGGTTCTGGTCGGCCAATTGTTCTATTTTGCATACCGGATGGGCGTACTAAGAACATGGCGAAGAATGGCTAAGGGCGACGCTGCTACGTAAATATGATCGGGATGTAGTGAGTAGGAAAAGGAACGGCGAAATATTCGTTGCAATATTCATGATATAAGGTGAATGAACGGAAGGGGAATGATCAGTTATTACAACGTCTGCCTGTTGTAACACAGAATTGATGTATTCCGGTCCGATGTGGAAATGATCGTACCTATACCCTATATCAATCCACTAAGGGACCATCACATCTCTTTATCACATGAAATGTAGACGTGTATTTAGAAGATGAGTAATCAATGTTACAGACTACAGGAATAGTTAAGCGTAATACCGGTGAAAAAGCGCACACGCACATACCCTCGGAGGCCCTGTCAGATCTGTAGCAGCTTCCCTGAAAGCAACAGCCCATACCCCTCTACCCTTTGGATATTCGCTTGCAATGATATAACCGGTCTATGGGCCTCAATCTTCCTTTGCATTTGCTCCCTCGTCCTCCGCCTCGTCCTCTTCCTCACCAGCTGTGTTTCCCTCATCACTGCTGCTTTCCTTGGCCTTCCCGGAAGGCCGTGAGACCTGCAGACAGGTAAAATCACGTGAAGTAAAAAAATGGTTTCCGACCGACGGCAAATTTACGGAACAGAGGATTGAGGTTGTTCATACTTTTAGGCCCGAGCTTGAAAATTTCCCAAGGTTCCGAACGAGGAAGAAGATCATGACCCCAAGCAGAATAACAATCAGGATAAAATCCTGGTTGGTGCCGGACGAGGCTGTGTTGCCGGTTGGGAAAGGCGTTGGCGCCATGTTCAATCGTTGTTATAGAAAAAACTTGATGCAACGCCTAGGTGTGAACGCACGACGGTGACCAACCAAGCTTCCGGAGGCTGCCGTAAGAAACGTCGGGCCGAAAGCTTTGCGCCCTTGGAGGGCGTTAGGTAAGCACACAGAATATAGAGCGAGACTAAAGTACAGGCAAAGACTTGGCTGGATGGAAGTTTTGGCGCGGTAGTGTCGTGCAGCAAGCCGTATCCTGAAAAAGTGTCGCGTCAAGTCACAAATGTTGGGGATGACATAAGAATCGGCGCTGCTATTCCCTAATCCACCTGCAGGTGCTTAATATTGCACTATTCATTTGTGATTTATGCAAGTGCAACGCCGGACTCATTACACAAACGATTCGCGCTGCAGTTGCAGCATGCCTAGTGCTGTAACCGTACCTAAACACGTTGCAGCGCGACTAGTAAACTTGTTGAGCCAACCAGCGCACTTATCATCAGCTGCGCGAGCGCAAATGGCCGCGTCCTCGTGGGCAGGTGAGCATTCATACTACTGTTCTGCAACCAGACGTTTGTTCTCTATCTGACTATTTGATCCGCTCTTGCTGTCTAACACCTGTACCCACGCGCACACCCACCCACACCCTACACCCAACCAGGCACCGGCATGACCCAGCAGGACTTCATGCATCGTGACGAATGCCTCGTAGTAGACCAATCTGACACCATCGTGGGCACCTCCAACAAACATGATTGCCACCGCTTCACGCCCGCCCAGCCACGTGGCCTGCTCCATCGCGCTTTCAGCGTCTTCCTCTTCAGCCCTGACGGCAAGAAGCTGCTGCTACAGCAGCGTGCCGCCAGCAAAGTCACCTTCCCTTCCGTCTGGACCAATACGTGCTGCAGCCACCCGCTTGCCGGCCAAGAGCCTAATGAAGTCGATGCCCCAGAGAAGATTGCGGATGGCAGCGTCCCCGGTGTTAAGGCTGCTGCACTCCGCAAGCTGGCGCACGAACTAGGCATTCCGCCGGAGCAGGTTCCGCCAGCTTCCTTCACCTTCCTCACGCGCCTTCACTACTGCGCCAGTGACACACATACATACGGACCCGCGGCAGAGTGGGGTGAGCATGAGATCGATTACATCCTCTTTGTTCGGCCGACACAGCCGGTGACACTGGCGCCCAACCCTGACGAGGTGGACGACGTACGGTACGTGGATCGGGGCGAGCTAGCCGCAATGATGGATCCTAAGTCCGGGCTGCGCTGGTCGCCTTGGTTCCGAATCCTGGCGGAGCGCTTTTTGGACGCGTGGTGGCAAGATCTGGATGCTACGTTGGATCCTGAATCCAAACACAGGGACTACGGCACCATTCACCACATCTTGTAGAAACTCAGCCGGTTGAGCAGCCGGTTGGCGAGCTGGGTGGTTTCCTCTTCTTGGCTTTTGGGGAAATCTTAATACTTGTTGTTGACAAGAGGGAGAGTGGTAGAACCCCGGAGGGTCGGGAATTGTCGGGGGTGACCGAGGCGGCGGATATGGTCCTGTACTAAGTGGCAAGGGCAATGGACTGTTCATGATTCGGATCGCGGCAACAACCCTACGTGCCGCCGCAAGACCTCTGGACCAGACGATATAACGTGTAGGACCGGGCAGGCGGGTGTCGTGTGTGCTCACCTAGGACGGAGTGTTGAGAGATGTTGGGGAAGAGCCTGGTGACACAGGAGACGGGGCCAGGGAACATTGACTGCTAAAGGAAGAAAAGAACCGCTGTTGGAACTCGGACGCGACCCTGGTCAGGGGCAGGAGGGGCTCTTCAAGGTAAAAGGCCATCCTCTGTAGAACTCCCCCTGCTCCTGGAGGGCCTCTGCGTGAGAGGGCCAAATGGCTTCTTGGACGGTGTGCAATGCTTGAAACGGAAAGGGAGAGTGTGAAGGGTGAGGAGTCTACAGGTTCATAGAAGGGATGTGGATGCAGCTGTACGGATTGAAGGGGAGGGTGTCTCGGGCGAACTTGAACTGGTTGCCTCTTGCGTTGCGTGGTGGGGCCCTGCTGGATGTGCTGCTGTGCTGCCTCGCTGTGGAAGGGTTGGGCCTGTCCTGCACGAGGAAGCAAGTGTCAACGCCACCGTCTACGGACCTTAATCTGCAGTACACGGTACGGCACACAGCTGACTTGAAGAAATGAATGCAATGCGCTCCATAAATTCCAGGCGTGCTTTCAATTGTGTGTATGAAATGTGTTGTGGGTGTGACCCGTGGTGTGCTGTTGGGCAATGGGAGGCTAAGGGTTGCGCACCAACGTCAGGTCCACACACAATTCCTCGGACGGTTGGCGGCTTTTTTGTTTCATTGTTTTTTCGTCCTTATGCACCGTACGGAAAGCCGTAATGCTTGCTTTTGCTTTTTTAAAGGGGTCCCACATAACAGCTCAAGAAACGAACGTTCAGGGGACAGCTTCAAATGTAGTACGAATGTTCTGGGGATAGCCTCACAGGTGCGAGTCCCCCCCTCTACCTGCCTACCTACCTAACGCCTCTTTCCACCTCAACATCACGGCCCCAACCATATCATGTCCACAAACTACACACCTCCCACAGCCGCCTTTAGATGCCGCTACTGCTGATGAAGGCTGCTGATGAACCCTTAGGGTTCTCGGATTCTTTATTGCTCGTCCTCGACCATATCACCCTCTCCAACTCTGTCCGCCCCCTTTTCCCCTACCCGTCTCACCGTCCCCGTCCCGATGCTGCTCTGGCGTCAACCATCACCGTTTCCGTCTGCAGGACAGCTGCGGAGCTGACGGCCTGACTGCCGATGGAGGTTCCATAAGTAGCAGCAGCGGCGGCGGCAGTGGTGAAGGCTGCGGTTCCAGAGTCGAGAGCTAGAGGGCGGGCCGGAATTTGTTGTTGTTCGGCAGGTCCACCAAGGATAATGTCATCGTCTAGCCGTAGCAGGACTTCGGAGCCGAACTGGGCCCCGCTAGTAGCTAGTGCTACTGCTGGTGGCGGTCATATTTGTGTAGATGGTGCTACTACTGACAGGTGACGTCTGTCATATGCTTTGGGCGTGTCGGAGCCCGTAAGTTCGGATAGATGCTCAAAAGCCATGGTCGAGAGGAGTCCTTCCCATCGTCTTCGAATCACTTTTGTGGAGGGGTAAAGTTTCTGAGCCCGTGCATCCATTCGTTGTGCGTCATTGTGTCGACTGGAGGAGGCAGGAAAGTAGCGCTACCACGCTGCGGTTACCGCAGCGTGGTTGCTGCCCGTGGCGGCGCAAGCTGCGTATTGGTCTTCACCGTCTTCAGGAATAGTAGAATTATCAGAGTTTGCCGCGATGCAAGGCAAGTCAAACGACCTAGCAGGACTGCGACCGTACACGGTCAGGAGAGCGCGCCTGGCGATATTGCTTATGATAACGTCGTGAAAGTATCTGCAAGTTGCTCTCAGCATCGCGCCATTATATGCGGTTGATCGCGCAGGCCAGGGGACTATAATCCTGGCAGAAAGCCGCCCATAGCTGTCGATAATAAACCCTAAGTTGCAAAGAAGCAATAGAAATGCATTTGGATAAATACATGCCATATAAATTCTTGCCATGCTGCCAAGGCAAATGCAGTTGCAAACGTTGTACATCTAGCTTCAACCGCTACGTCAATTTTCCATAGCACCAAAGCGCACCCAAGCCGCATACCGGACGACACGCAAAAGTTTACTTTACCGGGGCAGCTGATAAGGAGCGTTTGTACCTGCGGTAGACATTTTCGCAGTCGAACAAGTCCGTCGACCCTTTTGGATTTTTGAACATAAAGACTTGTGTATGATTCTTAGTAGGCTCTGAGGTGATGGATGAAACTCGAAAACTTCTGGTCGAGACAAGAGTGAAGGACTTGGGGGCGCTTACCAGTTCAAACCTGGTTCAGTTGCTCGATACAAGCACAGTTGGGCAAGCACTTCAGGTGCAGCATGTACCATAGATACATGTAGTCGTCGGCTTTCCTGGGGGAATTGTCAAAATTGTACTTTCAGCCGTCGTCTAGCTGCTGACTGTACTCTTGCCTTTATACTGTTATCGGCTTATGGCTGCTGCAGGTTCTAGCCGAAAATCGAATTCTATCTGCGCCTGTAATTGCGCCCGGTGACGATGGTGTTGCGGAGGGCGTCGTATGGCCAGCACAGCTGCCGAATTCAGACATTATGGGGTGAGCGACTTGTGCAGCGACCCAATACCTTTCTGTCTGGCAATACGCCGTCCCGTGCCTCTGGTATCCTTCATTTCCTGTAATGATCACGCAATCGATGTTAACGTCGAATGCTGCACTCAATTCTCCCGTGACGAGCCGTGGGCCACCATGTTCTTCATTTTGCAGGTTTGTTTGTGTCAACGACATCCTAACAAGCTTCCTGGAATGTAAGCTGGGCTATTTCGCTGTATGGGCGAGCCAGTGACCTGGCGAAGGGTGGTGTGCGGACCCTTTTCCTAACAAATGAACGTTCTTCAGCTCGCACCCCAACACCCAGCTCGCTTTGCGCCCCACGATCGGTCAAACGTGCGGTTGGATTGGTTGGTTGCAACGGCAGAGGCGGTGCGCCATGCAGCCTTTCCGATGAAATATAGATGTGGGAAAAGGCTGCTTGTTCCCTCGCAACCTTCATTCTTTCAACCCTTCCAAAATTTGGGTCCTCGAGTTATAATCCCATTTGGGTCATGCAACACCTCCTGCCACCATCACTCATCCCACCCGGAAAAGGCTACTCACGGGAATTTGGCGGTGTCGACTACGTCAACAACCGTGTTAACGGTCATCACGCCAACGGTCGCAGCGTCACGGCAAACGGCCATCACGCTGCCGCTGCCGCCGCCGCCGCTAACGCAGGGTGTGCGACCCCTGCCGCCGCCGCCGCCGCCGCCGCCGCCACTAGCTCTAGTGGTGGCGGCGGCTGCATGCTGGCCCGCATGCGGATGTTGGAGGCGATGGGTCAGCGGTTCGCCGAACAACAGCTACGACATCTCTCCTGTAAGGGTACGACAAGGGCTCGAGTACGACAAGTGTAGGATGGTAATGGGGTTGGGGGCCTACAGGAATAGGTCACCCGGGTACATGAAGGACCTTTCGGAGGCTCGCTCCGTTGCATTGGTCACAGCACTCCGCCTCCGCAAGTGGGCGGCGCAGAGGCAGGCTGCGGCTTGGGCCGTGTGATCTTGGGGGGAGATGGCGGGACTCATCCCGGCGGTTGATACGGGAACCAGGAAAAGGGGGGGAGGGGCCAGCAGCCGGAGCTTGGACACCGTGTGTGTGCGTTTGTGCGTTGCATGACGGCCTCGTGTGGATCTCTCCCCCCCCTTTCCCCCTCCAGGTATTGATGGGGACTTCCTCCACAGCCGCCACGCGGGGGAGGCCACCCTCCTGGAGCTGGCCATGTACGGCTTTCTGGATCCAAAACGAAGGTGGGCTGGTTTGTCTGTCTGTCTGTTGGTGGGTTGGCGGGAAGGACCTCCCCGTCGATCACACACGGCGGGGCACGGACACACACGCACACAGCTCACATGCACACGTACCTACCTACCTACCTACCTACCTACCTACCTACCTACAGAGGCATGCACGAGGGCGAGCAACAGTCTCGGGTGGTCCACAGAGTGGCCCTGTTCGACAGCAGCGGCCGCATCACCGCCATTATTTCGCAGTCGGACATTTGCCGCTTCCTGGCGGCCCGACTGCACGTGTTGGGGCCTCTGGGGGCCGCCACGGTGGCGGAGCTCGGGTGGGGCAGCAAGCAGGTGGGGGGGAGGGGGAGGGGAAGAGGCTTACAGGCACTTCGGGGGGAGTGGACGGGACAGAGAAAGGGGGGGGAAAAGGGCGGAGGGGCAAGGGGGAGCAGGTAGAAGGGAGACGGAGGGGAATGATGTGCGAGTTCTACTTGAGGTAAAAACCTCAAAAGAGTTACGGAGGCGAGCCTGTGCTTGAGAGAGGGAGGAGGGGAGGTCGGTGACTGTGCTCGGTGCTAGGCATGAGGGGCAACAGGGCGGTGGGAGTACCTTGGGGCTTTTAATTGGGGCCTTTCCTTTCCCTCTGATCCGCCATTCTTCTCCCCTTGTGTCTGTCTGTCTGTCTGTGTATCTGTCTATCCACCTCAGGTGGTGAGCTGCACACCGGAGACCCCCGCACTGGAGGCCATGAGGATGATGGTGGAGGAGGGAGTCAGTTCGCTGGCAGTGGTGGCGGCGTCCGGATCTGGATCTGGAACTGGACTGGCGCCGGAACCGGCATCTGCATCAGCGGCATCACCAGCGGCGGCACCCGCCATGCTGGGTTGTCGGCCCGCTGCTGGTGGAGGAGGAGGAGGGGGAGGAGGTCGGCTGCTCGGGAACTTTAGTGCGAGCGAGATGCGGTGGGTTGCGGAGTAGTCCTCACATATAATAATAAGGATAAGAATACTACTATTAATATTAATAGGAATAATATGAATAATAGGAATAATAATTAATGGTAATGATAAGAACGGTGATGGTGGTTTGCCCTCTCCTCCCTCCCAGTCTCGGTCGGCTAGCAGGACTAGGATAGTCGCGTTGGTCGGGTTGGCCGCGCGTTTTTTTGGGGGGGTGGGAGGAGCACTTGTATATCACCAGCTTTTTATTACCAGCTAATCAGCCAGTTCTTGGCCAAACCTCGTCAATGCCGCCGCCAGGCCGGCGGCAAACTTTATTCCGGCTTCACGTCAGCAGTTTTTTACTACTTTTCCGCCGCCTCTACACCTACCTTTACTTCTTTACGGCTTGGCATTACTGATTTTCTTCTGCGCATTTTTAGTCTTGGCGGCTAGGTAGGTAGTTTCCCGACACCTTCTTCATTACGTCATCCCGAGGTCGCCGCCTTCGAAAACGCCTTTTGGCCAGTTCTACGTCTGGTACACTCTTGCCCTGGCAGCAGCTTCACTCGTTCGTGGTTTGTCTTTCCCCTCTCAGCCACATAACAACATCTCCCCCCTTGCTCCCCTCTACCTCCCACCTCCCCCGCTTTTCTTAGGACCATGACTGCCGAGCACTTCGGCGCTCTGGCCCTCCCAGTCGGGGAGTTCCTGGCGCTGGAGAACGAGACCGAGTACGTGGCGGTGAATAGAGAGGTAGGGGGCATGCTTTCTGCCGCTTCCGTTCTTTCCGTCGCACTCCCCGCTACTATTACTACTAGTGCTCCCTCTTTATGCTTCTCCCCGGCCCGGGTTGCGTGATGTGATGTGATGTTGTGCAGCGGCTTCTCTCCGAGGAGGGTTTGCTGGGGTCCCCCGCGCACGACTTCGTTCGGGAGCGGGTGCGGCGGGTGCGGCCCCACAGCCCCGGGGAGGAGGTGGGGCAGCGGCTGGTGGTGGCCACCCGGGACAACACATTTGCGGAGGTGGGTACCCGCCGGGGGGGCCCGGGGGGGGGGAGAAGGGGGGATTAGGGCAGCTAGGGGGGCAGTGTGGGTGGGTCGGGAGGAGGGGACACTGGGCTTTGGGCTACCTGGTCTGACTTCCCTCCCTCTTCTTTCCTTTCCCTTCCCTGCCTTGGTGGGTTCTCTATATAGGTTGAGTGAGTGAGTGGGTGGGTGAGGGGCAACAAGCGAAAAGGGGGGAAAGACGAACCACACACGATTGAAGCTGCTGCCAGGGCAAGAGAGTATCAAACGTAGAACTGACCGAAACTGAACGAAAAGGGGGGAGGGAAGGGCTAGAGGAGGCTGAGGGGGTTCTGCGGCGTTACGGGTATCAGATTTCTCTCCGAGGTATATAGCAGAGGGCTCATGAACCGGGGAGGGAGGGGGGGAAGGAGGGGTTGGGGAAGGATCAGTATGGACGGGTGGGAGGGGCTTCCGAACCACACCACAACCGTGCCAAGCCTACCCGTAACCCCGCAGGTCGTTGGGCTGCTTGTACGGCACCGCATACACCGTGTGTACATCGTGGACGAGCGGGAGGTACCGGTGGGCATCGTCACGTGCACGGACATACTGCGGAAGGTGGTTGAGATGGCAACTACGGTGGCGCCGCCATCACCCTCCTCCCCTTCCGCAACAGCAGCAGCAGCAGCCTCAGCACCGGCAGCAGGAAAGGGAGCAGCAGCGCATGGATTGGGATATTCGGTAGCTTGATTAGGCCTATAAGGACTTATAGGAGGGGAGGAGATACGGGCGGAAATGGTTGACGGCAGGGCCTGGTGTGCGTATGTATGTATATGTGTGCTACTGCTGTTGTTGCTTGTCGGTAAGCGCCTTAGACGTCGCTTGTAGCGTTAACGGCGGAGTAGTGAGTAGCTCTTCAGCCTGCTGTACTGTACGGACTACATCAGTATGGATGGGGCAACGCATTGAGGGCTTGCGTGGCGGTTTTTGCTTTACTAGTCAGGGCGGCTCGCCCCCGCGGGGGTCGGTGGGGAGCTCTGGGATGACTTGCGACATGTTGCATATGTCAGTCACCGCTGTTGCTAAACCGTCCTGGTTTTTGTGTTTTTTCTTGGCTCCCTCCGGCTCTGCCCTGTCCTGTCCTGTTTCGTTCACCACCTCGTCAGTTGAACCCATGTCCTATATCTGTTCGTCTGTCCATCGGTCGGTCTGATAACGTTTTGGCAGTTCCGGTTCTTCCATTTCATCGGAGGAGAGGATTTAATGGAGGTTTGTGTTTTGGTCCCATGGGATGTCCGGAAACAGGTAACTACACATACAGACATACAGACGTAATCTGGACGGACGGTAACGGTACGACGGAGCCATGGTATGAGCAAGGCATGTTTGACTGGTCCCGTCGAGTGAAAGGAGGCGTGGACTGTCATGCCACGTCATGACGTGCTGTACACCAGCGGTTTCAAAGCGGTTCCAACGGGACACACACACTCTCATGTACACAAACGGGGGGGGTGCTCCTCCTCTTTCAGCGCGCCTCTGTTGCCCTGCTGGTTGGACTTTAGGTTGAAGGTTGACTCTAAGGGTTCATTGACGAACGGCTACAGGAGATTTGAAAGCTATGATGGCAGCAGCTCTCCATGTTCAGCTGGGTTCGGTGGTTATTGGGGTATAGAGAAATAGCGGGTAGGGTGGGGTGATTGGGAAGAGGGGGAAAAGCCCTTGGCGGGACTGGTAAGGGTGTTACACACAGTCTGCAGTTGTCTGCTGCGGCTTCCGGTATCCAGGAGGCCGATGAGGCTTTGGCTTCAGCATCATGGGGCCTGTCCAGGTGACAGAACTCACGCAGGGGAGCTGCCTCCCCCCACGCACAAGGCTTAGTGGCTTAGTAACCTCACCCCCCCCCACACACACACACCAGCCCAGTTCCCGACACTGATGCTACCCTGTGATGTATTCGGGGTCTCCAAATCACCCGTCATTACGTCCAGGGAGGCCCCACAGCTCCGGAGGGTCGCTCCGAAACACTCCATATGCGTACCTGCATCGGTGCGTGCTTTGATTGTTGTCGGGGGTTTGGGATACTGCTACTGCAACGTAAGGTTGGTGCTCATTGTGTGATGCGTCCCCCCCTCTCCCTATCGACATGACCGTCCAGAACAGAAAGAGCTTGCGGAACACATACATACATGCATACATACGTACATACATACAGGCAGGCGGCTGGCAGAGGTTAAGGCCTGACTTCTGCTCCCAGTCGACCCAGTCGACCCGGGTTCAAATCCGCCTGCCGGCTCCTCGGGTGTTTGAGGAGTGATGAAATGGGAGGTGGCCCCCCATCTTATGGACGGTGTAGGACGTGATAATATCAACTTGCGAGCTGACCAGGAACTAAGTTGATGCGCCGTTGATCCGCTAGATTTGGTTGGATGCTGGTGGTGAGTTGCCGAACCCAACGAATACATTCTGAAGTCGGATGGGGTGACGGATTAGGGTGCCCCTCTAGCAGGGGAGAGCAGGGACTGCCCCGGGAAAGGGGGCCGCTGGCGAAGTTAACCACCCTGTAACAACATACATACATACATACATACATACATACATACATACATACATACATACATACATACATACATACATACATACATACATACATACATACATACATACATACATACATACATACATACATACATACATACATACATACATACATACATACATACATACATACATACATACATACATACATACATACATACATACATACATACATACATACATACATACATATGCAAAGCAATGCCTTCATGAGGGGCATCGCTACTTCGGCCGGCCCAGTTAATACCAAACACGCACCTGAGTTTCTTTCTCTCGCTTAAGCCAACTTAAGCCAAAAAAGAGACGCCGTGCACGGCTCTCCAGGGAGGGGTTGAAGCTTTGCGGCTGCACACAAAGAAAAGAAGTCCCGAGGAGCTCAGGACAGCGGCTGGGCCTCCTCCTCCTGGGATTGCTTTCCAGCACTTAGGAACATTTGGGTGCGTGTGTGTGGTTGTTAGGGGCACGTGGAAAGGCCCGACCACCGCCGACCACCTAAGCCATTCCCTCTCCATTCGTACTCTGCCGGAACAGGCACAGCCACATGCAGTAGACTCACTCGCGTGATAATGTGTGCAGGGTGTACATGGGTCCCGCGCACCGCATGTGTCGGCTTCCTGTATGGGTTTGGGCAGTTCGCTGGCTAGCTAGCAGTGGGTAATCAACTGCCGTCAGCCACCACCTGACTTCCAGGTACCCGGGCAGATGGCGAAGTATAAGCACTGGATGGGGCTGCCCTTTTCGGGAGCCGTAGCCGTCATGTGGCCGACACATGCTAAGGTTTTGATTCCTCGTTTAGCAGTCAATGCAGCTTCGTTTATGTTGCTGGGCTTTGGAGGCAAACACAGCACGAAGGGGCAAGTACCATGTCCCCAGGGAGCAGCGGTTTTGCCGCTGTTGTGGTACTAATAGCCAAATCGAGGATGAAAAACACGTGTTATTGGAATGCCCAGCCTATAATGATATTCGTGCGGAAGAGGGATTCAATCATCACAGAGCGTGTTGGAGGCCAGCCAGTACGTCTGGCGAGGATGTGGGCTCACCGCAACTCAGTTATCCCCTTTGGGCGCTAGTCTGGGCTGATACGGGTACGGGTATAGTAGGTAGTCCTGCTGATTTCCCCATTTGGCCCCAACCCAATTTCCCGAGCTCGGCAAGGACGTATGCCATCGGAGCTAGAAGCGGCAGGTGAAGGTGTATCCATTACATTCAGGTGCAATGTGCACATTGCAAACCCATTGCTATCACGTGTAGAGTGAGTAATTCCGTAGCCAGAACCGACAACAGCCCACCACCAAAAACGGCATCCAATTGGTTAATTCACCCGGGCCCTATGTGTCATGTGGTGCATGTGTTGCGGTTTTTAGATGACTTGTATTGCCTAGCTGTACTTGCTTCTCTTTCTGCCGGACTCTGCCCGAAGCGCAACTGCGCCGAGCCCCATAAATCCAGGTTCAAAATCAGAAAGAATCCTGATAAATATCTCTAAATTAAAACCAATAATCCGCCCAAGGTCAGCACCCGCAATTCCTAAGGTTTTTTTGGCAACAATAACAACCCTCTATCACAGCTCCATTTCTAAAGCTGTCACCGTAGCAGAGTACCTTAACTTTTCCACGTCAAGAAAAGATAATAATATAGTGTCCACTTGTCCTCTGCAACAGGACAAGTCAGGCGGTCTAAGAAGGAGTGCCCAAAACGACTCTTAGCATGCCAGCAATGCATATGTCATCATGTAGTACGGCATCGTCAAATTCCAACGGACACAACGGAATAATCCTTGGCATCCCGCGATGCTCAAATGTACAGTCATGCAGCAAGCAGCGATGCAAGCTAGCTAATGACCACGTCTCGCGTCCAACCCAGAGGCCAAAACACCAGAGCATGTATCCCAAGTGGGTGAGCGTGGTCATGCAAAGACAGTACAGTGAAGATGAGTTGGTGGCAAGCAAATAGCACCCATCAACTCCGATGTCAGAATAATAACGTCTAATACCACTCAATGACAGCACGGCGAACGAAGTTACGTTTCGTGAACATGTGAAGTGAGCACATGACATATAAGCTGGCAGGCGAAGGAGGTTAAGAGGGTTACCTAAAAGAAAGAAATTTTGAGCTTCAACCGCTCTTATAAATTTAAGCCATTCAGGCCAAGAGAATAAACGAGATTGCGGCATGGCAAGAGAAATTGAGCGGAAAAGCACATGCTCCACCTGCACGAACCTGCCCCTCAAGCAAGCTGTCATCCTGCTGGCCACTCGGCGTCACGCCAACATTCAATTACAACTTTGATAAAAAGTCGTCCAGCCGCGGTGCCGTACCGGGAAGCCGTACCCACGCACTCTGGCCGTACACATCTCCGTTCAGCAGGAACAACATGTACCAGCCCGGCGGCGCGATGTTGATGTCGGGAGGGCCATTGAGCACGAGACGACGGGCATCCACGTCCTGGGACAGAATCTCCAGACCGACCTGGGGGTGTGAGGCGAGAGAATGAGGACATTTAGATGCGAGAAACGAATGCATTATGTAAAACTTTCTTTTTGGCATTGAATTCAGTATTCCAGTTACGAATTTAATTGCAACCCTGATATGCTGAAGGAGTTTCAGCCATCACAGGACTAGCCCGTCCGCCCCCCGCGGGGTCCTTCCCACATTCACCCAACAGGCGGGGCACAGGAGGCAGCTAGGCCCGTCTATCCTTCCTCTCAGATAGATCCCTCCGACATCTCGTCATGAGGCCGACCCACCACTCTCTGGTTCATGTTGGTCGAGTGGGTTGTTGAACTCGGCGAAACCAGCACTGCAGATGTCACCGTGTCGTTTGCGTAAAACATGCTGTACTGCAACGCAAAAGGCTCCCCGTACTGCATTACGTTGACGCTGTCGTACTCATCCCACGTGGCGTCATCCATGGAAATGATTTGTGGCTTCGCAGTTACGTTAAACCAGCATGGCGGCCGGAACACCTCGATGCGGTACTCGGGAAGACCAGAAGGTGACTTGGAGATGCCGCCCGGGGTGGTGTACCAGTACCTGCATGGATCATAACCGAAAGGCGGAGTGAGGTGCGAATTTCCGAACCGTCAAGATAATCTAGCACAGCATCCACAGTTCTCAGAGGCCCCATCACAGAGCGAAAACACACCACAATGGACGCGGGGGCGGATTGCTGTTGCGCCGGTCGTCGCCTTACTTGTCGCATCGGTCGCATCCCGCCACCAAAAGCGACCCGTCTGTGGTCAATGACACCGTCGAGTGGTAGAGCCGCGGTATCATGGAACGGGACATGAGCCGCATGCGGCTTCCAGAAGGTTCATCAGGGTCGTACAGTACGGGCCACAGGTTGGGCTCGTTGGCCTTGGCAACACCGCCCGAAGCGCTGTCGCCCGCCAGCCCTTTCTGCGGGGCGGTAGAGCACCGGAGAAGCAGAGTACGTGAGGGGCAGGTCGTACATAAGCACATACGGGCAGGATGACATAGCACCGTAAGCAAGCGTACAGCCACATCGTTTATTCCCGCCTTCCTCCATCAATCGCAGCACGACAGTCGCCACTCACCACCGCTCCGTTGAGCACCACGACTTTGCCGTTGGGCAGCAGCACCGCATCCCCCATCACGCGAGGCAGAGGCATCTTCTCGGCAGTCCAACCGTCACCTGCAATCACACATCAACAACGAGCGGCACGTGCAAGATTCAGACGGACACGGGTTCAGGGTGGACATGGCAGGCTAGATGTTAGCCGCACCACTTACCAAATGTGTAATTCCTGGTAGCCGGGTCATAAACAACCTTAATCCTCAGCGCCAGCCTGCTGGCTGTGGTGTTGATCCAGCCATAGCTGAACTGACCGCCAAAAAAGACCACTTCAGGCGTGTATCCGTTGTCGGGTGTGAGCGGAAGCATGACGCTGGTGCCCGTGAAGGGGTATTCGGTGAAAATGCCCTTAGCTACAGTGGACCAGCTGGGCAGTGTCGTACGCACAGTGCCCGTCATCGGCTCCGTAATTTCGCCATAACGGTTGCAGAAGATGAAGAGATCGCCCGTGGGCAAGACGTACTGCATGTACATAGCGACGGCAACACAAAGGTAAAGTACGGGCCACTTGTCCCTGAATAGCCCAGGATGGTCACATCTCGCCGCCACGTAAACAGCTTTGTGCCATCAATACCGCAGCCACCAGGCAGGCACGCATTAGAATGTTCCAACTCGTTGCAAGCGGATCCTGAGAGCACATCAACCGCTGTCCCCCAAGCCGCCCCAACCCCAACATACCGTATTGGGATAATAAATGTCGTTGGTCTTGGTGACAAGACCGTTGGAATGATTTTGTTTTGCCAACGCGGTCGGGTTCGCGGGATCCCAAATTTCGTAGATGGGATTCTTGCCAGCGCCTGCACGACATTCGGCATCACGCACATTAAGGAGGGGGTTCATCGGCCTGGATGCGCTCTAGATGCCATGAATGGTTAGATGGTCGACCCTTCAGGATCCAATCTATAGGATCTAACAGGATCCATTATAAACATAATTAATGATTCACCCATTCCCTTGCCTTCCCTTCAGGCGCGCCTACCGAGAAATATACTACATACCGGGCGAGTCTCCACTTCACGGCTGTCCGGGCAGTCGCGGGTAGCGCCTTTAAGCGACATTCCTTGACGGTCAACTATTAGCCGCCGTACCCCAACCATTCATATCAAAAAAGAGGGGCTGAAAAAGTCCTCTGAATATGCTGGCAGAGCGCCTTAACGCGTATTTATAGATGATTATGTGTGTCGTTCTATACGGCAGCTACCACAAACGAAAAGTGTGATTAAAGCCCTGGAGTATTGTTGTGCAGGTCGGGTGTTTCTGGTCACCACATCTGCATTTGGTTTTCCTTCCCCCTGGTTGCGGTAATGCACGACACGCTCACCGTCGCCAGGAAGCTTCGTGCCGCCCATAATGGTGACCTTGCCGCTGGGCAGCAGAGTCGCGGTGGGGTACCAGCGGGGGTACGACATATTAGTAATCCTCTTGAAGGTGAGTGTCCTGCGGGAGAAGATGCGGACGCCCTTGAGCCCGTCGGCGTAGCCTGATTTGGCAATGTGCCCACCAACCACCATCACGTGGCCGTCCTGCAATGGGGGAGAAACAAGTTTTACATAAATGTGGCTAAGGCCAAAACAGCGGTGTCGACTGGAGAATGATGATGAAGTGGTGTTGCCTAGTATTGCCTAGCATTTACTGTGGATTATGGATCTCCGGGGCATGTTTGCCACGATGGGGCCCCCGGGTTATGAGCAGCTAGCGGCGCTGGGAAGCACTAATACTACGTCTGGGTTGCAAAACAAGCCTTTGCGCTATCAGGCCATGTAAGCTACACACGTTCTAAAATCGCTCAGGATGTAATAGTCCTTTCCATGCATGCCTCCCGGCGCAGAGGATGGGCACAAAAATGCACAATGCTCGTCCAGATCCTCCTAATTGCCGTACACACCTGCGTCACGGTATGTCCCGAACAAAATACAGAGTCCGTATAATTGACGTTGGTGAAACGATTAGCAATGTAGTCGTAATAGCCCACAATATTGCTGCCCTTATCGGGATGGCGGCCGCTGGGGCGCTCCATGAAAAAGAACTTGTCCGTACCGGGTACCATGCACAGGTGTACGGCGACGACGTTGCCCATGATTTTCTGCATTCAACAATGCCAACAACATCGCCGGCTGAAGCGCCGCAGTGACAGCGCGCACGGGTTCCAGAGGACCCAGGACTGGATAACCTTAATATAATCACCCATGCATGGGGCCCCCCGGCGTTAACTGACACCCCCATTCCTGCGGAACTTGTAAATCGTGAAAATCTTAAGCACGCCTGGCGTATTAAGGGTTTCCCGCCGTGGCTGGGAGCTTCCAAATACATGTCCTAAGTCCTAAATTAAAACACACTGCTTTCTCCGAAACGCTGCAAGCCATGGAATGCAAAGTCTGCATTAGCTCGCAGCAAGGACTGTGCGACCAAACCCACCAGGGCCCACTCCCCATACGCCTCCCTGTCGTCGCTTGGGATGATGGGCAAACTGATAAGACCATCACCCGGGGTGCTGGCGTTGGCATCGCTGGGTCCCGATGACTCTGGTGGCACACGGTGGGGAAATTCCGCAAACGAAGAAGACATGACAATCAACAAGTGCGCGCGCGCGTGTGTGCTTGTGCTTGTGCTTGTGTGTGTGTTTGTGTGTATGTGTCTGCTTGTGTGTGTGCTTGTGTGCTTGTGTGTGTATGTATGTGTATGAAAAATATAAAAGAGGCCCCATATGGGCATAACTCCTTTAATGCGCTGAAACAGGTTACTTCGCCGAAGTGCAGTTGCTTGGTTGCTCAGAATTACACACACGAATCAGTGACGTGGGTTAAAAGGCAAGACACAGAACTAACAGACAATATCACCGTAACGCCAGCCAATGCAAAATCGGTTTCCGTGAGTTATACCCTTACCATCTTCAACAGAGGCATTGTACGGCGGCGAGGCTGGGGGCTTCGGGGGACTGGGTTGTGGAGACGGGGGCCGCGGGCTGGGGGGTGAGTTCGGGGGCGGTGGGGAAGGCGATAGCGGCTTCGGGGGCGGGGACGACGGCTTCCGAGGGGGCGGCGAGGGTTTAGGTGGGCTGGGCGGGAGTTTAGGTGGGGATGACGGCTTCTTGGGTGGAGACGATGGCTTCTGTGGTGGCGGAGAGGGCCTTGGTGAGGGCGGGGTTTTGGGTGTTGCCAAAACGCGGCGGCCAGTCTGTAAGAGTGTTGAGGCCAAATCCGTCATCTTGCTGTTGCTGGATTCAACCGAGTACCCATTTCCATTAGAAGATTTGGTGAGATGCGAGTTGTCGTTGGTTTCCGGCGCGAGGAGCTGGCGGCCAGTCCACCGACCAGCGGTTTGCCTCAGGCGATCGCGTCCGGCCTTACTTCCAACACCTGCCGCCCCGTGAAGATCAGCCGGTGCTGTGTCTGCTGCAGTCGTCAGGGAGTGGACATGTGCACTCGCCGAGGCGCTGGTCGACGCCAGCAGGAGCAAAGCTGGGAGAAGAACCAGGAGAAGGCTCGCCATGATTAGTTGGCGTGAGATAGCCGAGAGTTACAATGAAAAAGTGTTATAATGCGAGTGCTCCGCCTAGTTGCTAATAATACACGTTAGAGCTAAAATAAAGTGTCCTACTGTGAATGGGCGTAAATTGGTCGGAGGCAGCAGCTAGGGACGATTTTGTGAAGTCCCACTGCTTGTCACATCCCAAGCATCAATGCAATAATGTTTTAGCGGCAAAGGACTATATGAGCGGGTGGAAGTAGGTAGTCGTATTACGTGAAAACCATGACTCAATTATACGGCAAGGAAGGGTTGTCGGGTCAGTCGCCGTGAACGTTCAAAACTTCCATGGCCGACATGACAGTTGTGGTGTACGGTACAGTAAAACCAGTTGAAGTTCTTTTCTTAGGTTAAGCATTAGACAATATGAGCACTCGTATGTCCGCGAGCGGAGGGACAAAAGTGGGTGAGGTTTTAGCTGTTCCTGTCCTGCTGCCTCTTTTACCAGGACCGTATCAACATGACAGGACGAACAGACAGCTCAGAGCCACGCGAGCAACATGAAGGATAGCAAATGAAGATTAAAGAAAATGATATGTACGCAGTTATAGTTACTGATAATGCCTGCTTGCCCGTAGAAAACTGGCCCATAACTGGTTTTGAGCCTTTACAGTGGTTTCGCTTTGGACGCAAAACACGCAAACAAAATCAGAATGTATAATATAGATAAGTTTATGCATTATAACAACCTTTTCACGCTGTTTTATTAGCACCCCCGAAATCAGCGCAGACTTTAACTTTGCACCGCTTGTAAGCATGCTCAGTGTGGGGGCCGTGCTCCTAGCCGACCACACTGTAATCCGCTGTCCAACTTGTTCTAAACGGACCAGCTGCGTGTTAGGCTGGCGCCATGAGCTGAACCGTGCGTTAACCTAAGAGACAACGCAGAAGTCTCAAGCAAGCCGCGAAATTGCAATCATCTGCAGAGGTGAGAAACCTCTGCAGAAATGCTCACAAAACAAGGCGCACTCGGTGTGCACACTAATTACGCAAGCCCCTGTACCTAGGCGGATACCAAGCAGGTACACAACGGGTTGAGACACAGCCTATTTAAAATGTCTACGCCAATAGACTCCTGGGCAAGGAAGTCTGGCCGAAAATCAACACAACTACGCCCCAGTGCTTGCGCTGTCCGCGGAGCAGGGGATAAGAAATGAGCTGAGCATCCTCGGCCTGTTCTGACTGTGCCCTGGATTGTATCGGGCTTCTCGAACACTTGATTCTTCTCGAACACTTTGATTTATGTCCTTGAGGGTACAACAGCAAAAACGGGCCAAACCGCGGATATCGTGCCGACCCGTGGGAAGGTAGACTGCAAGGAGGTAGGTGCAAGCAGCACTGGGTGCTTGAGGCAAATTGAGGCGTTGAGGGCAATGGTTTTTATCACCAGATAAAGACACTTAAGGTAAGAGGATAGCAGCTCAAGGTTCAGCATGAAACTGCTCTAAACAAAACTGTTCATCATCCGTTACAGAAGCCGTTCCCTAGCAGGATGAAGCGCCGGGCGTCAAACGCGTCCACAAGATTGCATTATGCCGATCCGTTGTTGGTGCAATCGGAGATGCAACGATTTTGCATGAGGCTGTCATCGTGAGGGGGTTCACAAAGCCAGGCGTTAAAGGAACCTTCAACGATCAGCACAAAATAATTGACATACACGATCCTCAATCCCTGACCTAATTATACAGACCAAGGGGCCATGTAAAAGACCAAAAACGCTATCAGTCTAAAACCGCTCCACCGACACTCTTCCAAAACGAGGATCGATTGCCTGTAGACTTGGCAGATAGTGGGACTGCAAAACGTACATGTCCACGTTGTGCGCGAATAACGAGCCCATTGGAACGACGACGCCAGACAAATGCGATGTATGCCCGTGCCACCAAAATGTTTTGTGCCAGCACCTTCTGCTCGGATCCAAGTCTCGCGCCGCGCTTAGTCGTATCACCGCTGTTATCGCTCTAGTCGGTCCTAGTCAGCTCGTCCTGACTGAAATCAACTCATTGTAATAGAATTGATGAAAAGACGACTGTAGGTACCCTTATTACCGTTTTTGTGGACATGCGTCTATTAGCACTCCGTCAGGAAAGCACCCGCTTAAGCTCCAAGGAAACGCGAATAACACCTACACAAGAAAAATTAAAATCTAGCCACACCAGCGCACCCATCCCATGCACATGGCTCGAACTAATCATCGTAGATGTCATGATCAATCCAGGGGAGATCTTAAGCCAAAGCCCGCAATGTTGTACTAATGGAATCAATCCGATCCTGTCTATTCCTTGCAACCTGCAATATTTCATGCAAACGTCGTGCCAAACTGGTCCAGGAACCTCTAATTCATCGACTAGTACAACAACAAGGCTTACCGAAGCAGCCATGGACCCCACTAAGATTAAAGAAAAGCAACGGCAATAAGAAAAGAATCGGAACAAGCTGTCATCATACATACCATGTGAGAGGCAAGAGCTCGTGTATGTGCCAGCGGTCTGGAATTAATTCAAGAATGAGAATGCGGACTATGAGGGCCAAAGTCAGTCGCTGGCAACGCAACGGTTGGCAGGTTAGTCAACTTGGCCGGCGTGACCATCGTTGATCATTAAAGTACAAAAACCAGCCGTCCAACATCAAAAATGGCGTAGTTCCAAACGTAGTTCAACCCCTCCGCATTTCATCGATGCTTCCACTTCACTTCAGTGTTGCAAAAAAGTCGTCCAGCCGCGGTGCCGTACCGGGAAGCCGTACCCACGCACTCTGGCCGTACACATCTCCGTTGAGCAGGAACAGCATGTACCAGCCCGGCGGCGCGATGTTGATGTCGGGAGGGCCATTGAGCACGAGACGACGGGCATCCACGTCCTGGGCCAAGATCTCCAGACCGACCTGGGGGTGTGAGAGCTTAGGGTTTTATGATCCGACAGAAACGAGGACATTTACATGGTAAAAACGAATGCATCATAGAACGCACACTTATGTGCATTGCATCCAGGAATCCAGTACGAATTTAATTGCAACCCTGATATGCTGAAGGAGTTTCAGCCGTCGCAGGACGAGCCCGTCCGCCCCCCGCGGGGTCCTTCCCCCATTCACCCAACAGGCAAGGCACAGGAGGCAGCCAGGCCCGTCTATCCGTCCTCTCAGATAGATCCTTCCGGCATCTCGTCATGAGGCCGACCCACCACTCTCTGGTTCATGTTGGTCGAGTGGGTTGTTGAACTCGGCGAAACCAGCACTGCAGATGTCACCGAGTCGGTTGCGTAAAACATGCTGTACTGCAACGCAAAAGGCTCCCCGTACTGCATTACGTTGACACCGTCGTACTCATCCCACGTGGCGTCATCCATGGAAATGATTTGTGGCTTCGCAGTGACGTTAAACCAGCATGGCGGCCGGAACACCTCGATGCGGTACTCAGCAAAGCTCGTGGGTGACTTGGAGATGCCGCCGGGGGTGGTCCACCAGTACCTGCATAGGGGATGGCAGTACTTTTATGGAGCCACCACCTTCCAAGGATACATAATAGATTTGGAATGAACAAAAAATGAATCCTTGTGAAAAGCCCACATCTAAGCAAAATAATGTAATGCCTAGTTTAGCATGTCGTGCCAATCTCTACGGGGTATTCATCAGCACGAGTGGGCGATACGTGTATATCGGTCATTGTGTAGTTAGTAGAGAAGGAATTGCACCGGTCGTCGCCTTACTTGTCGCATCGGTCGCACCCCGCCACCAAAAGCGACCCGTCTGTGGTCAACGACACCGTCGAGTGGTAGAGCCGCGGTATCATGGAACGGGACATGAGCCGCATGCGGCTTCCAGAAGGTGCATCAGGGTCGTACAGTACGGGCCACAGGTTGGGCTCGTTGGCCTTGGCAACACCGCCCGAAGCGCTGTCGCCCGCCAGCCCTTTCTGCGGGGCGGTAGAGCACCGGAGAAGCAGAGTACGTGAGGGACCGGTCGTACATAAGGGCAGGATGACATAGCACCGTAAGCAAGCGTACAGCCACATCGTTTATTCCCGCCTCCCTCCATCAATCGCAGCACGACAGTCGCCACTCACCACCGCTCCGTTGAGCACCACGACTTTGCCGTTGGGCAGCACCACCGCATCCCCCATCACACGAGGCAGAGGCATCTTCTCGGCAGTCCAACCGTCACCTGCAATCACACATCAACAACGAGCGGCATGTGCAAGATTCAGACAGACACGGGTTCATGGTGGACATGGCAGGCTGGATGTTAGCCGCACCACTTACCAAATGTGTAATTCCTGGTAGCCGGGTCATAAACAACCTTAATCCTCAGCGCCAGCCTGCTGGCTGTGGTGTTGATCCAGCCATAGCTGAACTGACCACCAAAATAGACCACTTCAGGCGTGTATCCGTTGTCGGGTGTGAGCGGAAGCATGACGCTGGTGCCCGTGAAGGGGTATTCGGTGAAAATGCCCTTAGCTACAGTGGACCAGCTGGGCAGTGTCGTACGCACAGTGCCCGTCATCGGCTCCGTAATCTCGCCATAACGGTTGCAGAAGATGAAGAGATCGCCCGTGGGCAAGACGTACTGCATGTACATAGCGACGGCAACACAAAGGTAAAGTACGGGCCACTTGTCCCTGAATAGCCCAGGATGGTCACATCTCGCCGCAACGTAAACAGCTTTGTGCCATCAATACCGCAGCCACCAGGCAGGCACGCATTAGAATGTTCCAACTCGTTGCAAGCGGATCCTGAGAGCACCTTCAACCGCTGTCCCCCAAGCCGCCCCAACCCCAACATACCGTGTTGGGATAATAAATGTCGTTGGTCTTGGTGACAAGACCGTTGGATTGATTTCTCGTGATTAGAACGGTCGGGTTGGCCGGGTCCCAAATCTCGTAGATAGGGTTCTTACCGGTACCTGCACAACATCGTGCATGATGGTCTCTGTGATATCTATCGTGTAAATATGAGATCTATGTACCAAATTTGCACGGATTACGAAACACTCTACTGGGTGCCAAAAGCAGTCTTTGGGTAATACCAGACATGCAGGGGTCTGTTGCGCAATGCTAGGTTGCCCCCTCATGCACTGCCCATGAGCTTTGCATACTTCTCAGTGAAATCTGGACTACCAGTTATTTAAAAATAGTTTTGCAAGTACATCCAATAGAGCATGTTCCGAAGCCACGCAAACTGCTGGCCCATGGCAATACCTCGTCATGTGGGCCGCCTAATAACGAAAAGCGATGATCATTGCGGACTTGATCGCCCCTAGCTAGGCAGCTATTTCCACCCGTGCACACAGATCTCCATGACTCTGAAAAGATGTCCACATACCCGCTCCGGGCAGTACGGTGCCGCCCATAATGGTGACCTTGCCGCTGGGCAGCAGAGTCGCGGTGGGGTACCAGCGGGGGTACGACATGCTGGTGATCCTCTTGAAGGTGAGTGTCCTGCGTGAGAAGATGCGGACGCCCTTGAGCCCGTCGGCGTAGCCTGATTTGGCAATGTGCCCACCAACCACCATCACGTGGCCGTCCTGCAGGGAGATGGTAACGGTGGGAATCACGGCGGCGCTAACGGTGCATGGGAAAAGACACCTACACCGCGTCTTACAGCACACATACAATGGCAGCCCGAGTGCAGAAAAATTGCTTACAGCACAATTCCTTGGCACCGCAGTAAATTAATTAGAGCCATACCGCGCCATGTAGCCCCTGCATGACGATAAAGAACATCCTAGACATCTCCTCCAACACCGGTCACCGACGGACAATAATCAACTGAAATCCACGAACCCATCGGTCCAATTTCCACATCACACGTACGCACCCCGCTACCTGTCGTACACACCTGCGTTACAGTGTGTCCCGCACAGAACACGGAGTCCGTGTAGTTGACGTTGGTGAAACGGTTGGTTAGGTAGTCGTAATAGCCGGCTATGTTGTTGCCGCCGTCGGGGTGGCGGCCGCTGGGGCGCTCCATGAAAAAGAATTTGTCCGTACCGGGTACCATGCACAGGTGTACGGCGACGACGTTGCCCACCGCTTTCTACTCGTGTGTGAAAAAGGGGGGGAAAAGGATATGCACAACGGGCGGAGTAACGACAAAGTCCAAGAGCGGGCCATACATGTCCAAAACAACATTCCAGCCAGTCACGCCAAGGTTCCTCACACCATTCTCAATAGCAGACGTGTCCATCGGTCTCATTACTCAGGACGGGGAGTTAAAAAACAAGAAATAACCCATCTCATCTTAAGACATCGGGAGACCCGCTAAAACCCTTCAAAGCACAAAGTCCCCTTCACCACATTAAAACCAGCACATGCAGAGAGCATACAAACCACCCCAACAGAGGTCCCACGATGGCTCGAACCCACCAGAATCCACTGCCCGTACGCGTCAGGTTGGTTGTCCGGTACAATGGGTAAGTTGACGTTACCATCCCCCGGGGTGCTCGAGTTGCCATCGCTGGGCCCAGGCCCCTCTGTGGGAGGTGCCATATGGGTACAAGTGGGACCAATAGTGCGAGCTTTGGTTTCCGGGACCGGGATTTACTTACTTAGGGTTCGCAACACGCCATTAAGGAAGCAAACGATTAATGATAACCTGAGTGCTACAGCTGAGTGGCACAGCGCGCAAAGGAGGAACAGCGGCTTTCAAGATAGCTTTTAAACAGAGGGAATGGCCACAAGACGAGCAAAACAGAGGTGAACGCCATTTCCGAGTTACACAACATCTAGGGGGACGCTGAAGACGCTGCTGTGCTGCCATGCCGCTGCCAGGCAGGTGCCCTAACAGATGTCATTGTCATGCAAAACGTTGGTCTGGGTTCTGGAACCTCTCACCGTCGTCAGAAGTGGCATTGTACGGCGGCGAGGCTGGGGGCTTGGGGGGACTGGGTTGCGGAGACGGGGGCCGCGGGCTGGGGGGTGAGTTCGGGGGCGGTGAGGACGGCGGCGGCGGCTTCGGGGGCGGGGGCGACGGCTTCCGAGGGGGCGGTCGGCTGGGTGGCTTCTTGGGTGGCGGAGGGGGCCTTACAGGAGGCGGTGAGCTGGGTGGCTTGTTGGCTGTAGCCAGCACGCGGCGGCCAGCCCACAGAAGGTTCGAGGCGAAATGCACAAATTTGCTGTTGCTTGAATCGCCCGACTCAGCGTTGCTATTGATGATTACGGTGGATTCGTCGGTGAGATGCGAGTTGTCGTTGGTTTCCGGCGCGAGGAGCTGGCGGCCAGTCCACCGACCAGCGGTTTGCCTCAGGCGATCGCGTCCGGCCTTGCTTCCAACACCTGCCGCCCCGTGAAGATCAGCCGATGCTGTGTCTGCTGCAGTCGTCAGGGAGTGGACATGTGCACTCGCCGAGGCGCTGGTCGACGCGAGCAGGAGCAAAGCTGGGAGAAGCACCAGCACCAGAGTTTCCATCGCTGACAAATTCGCTTCTCTATTGAAGGTTGGAAAGAGCAAGCTGTTCTATTGCATACGAACTCTCGCCACAGGGCAGCAGCTAGGGACGATTTTGTGAAGTCCCACTGTCTGTGCGGTCGTCTATACGATGAGACAAGGGCAAGAAGCAAACACAGCCAGGTAAGTCATCCTGAGAGTCGCACGAATGGCGCGACATATAGCTGGGACTGACATGACTATACAGTTATGCAATGGAAAGCCAGTAGTGACATTTATGATCCCAGGCACTCACAGTACATTTTTCCATATTAAGCAGCTGAAAATATGAATTGCTTTGAAAAGATCCACATGCCTTGGTGATGAAAGTGTGGGGGGTCAAACCTACCGCAGACAACGACCGTCTCCCAGGTGAGCACCAACAGCGCCAGGCGACAAGAGTGGTAAGGGGCGATAAATTTGACGCACGTTTTGTATTTGTGGATTAGAACCGCTGAAGGACGGGCGAGGAGTTGTTGCAGGTTTAACTAAGAGGTGGCTGTCAAAGAGCCAAGTGTTTATAGCCCTACGATGTGCATACCTCCTATAAATGTTCAGTGTCTGTGTACGAACCTGCTTGGCTCCCTGGCGGTACCACACAAACTTTTGGCGGTAACGGCCGGTACACCAGGACGCAAATCCATTTAAGCAACCTGTATTTTGTATACGAATGGACTACGCCGCTTCGCAAAATAGAGGGTTTACCTCTTACGACTAGAATGCGTACACCTTTTGTTAAAAGGCGTGTTGGACGAGCAAGCGACAGTTTATAGCGAACAAAACCTAACTCTCACTTGAAGAAGCCTAGATATGGAGGCTTATATTGATTGTTGATCCAATTTTATGAAAACAGCTATGTTCGACCTTCCTCCGAGGCAAGTGTGACCCAACAAAAGTCCGGAGCTGCTGCCCAAACTTGACTCAGGACCTTTACAAAATCTGAAACTGCTATTCAACCGGCCATGTAGAATAAATTCAGCTTTAATTCTAAATGAAAAGGTAACCTACCATCTACTAGCATAGAGGTATTGGTCTGTGCGCTCCATGGATGATCGAACGTTATTCGCTGGCACCCAGGATAGAAGCGTGCCAAAAAGGGCGTATGAGCGACACCATCACCATAATCATCCTCGTGCTTATGTATTTCTGCGTGTACCCGTCGGTCGAGTGGACCTTTTCAGATCCTCGATTACGGAAGCCCAGACATACTTGCCACCGTACACAACGATGTTGTTGCGCACATAGCGCCAGTAGTGAAAAACTCACGTGGCTGGCCCCCGGCGTGACACGGTTTGACCGCGCCATTATGTGTATGGTGCGACATGTTGCACTCAGATGGCTGGCTCCAATGAGACAGGTCGAGCAAAAATCGGAGACTGATGGCCCCAGGGGGTCGCATGTGCAAGGGGGAAAGGGCAGGGAGGACGAACTGAACTACCTGACGTGTAACTCGTTGGACAACGTATTCCCCTGCACTCCTCCCAAAAACCAACACACGCCTGCGGGCACTTGCTGCCCCGTACGGCCAGAGAGATCCACCCGTACAGTCGTACGACCAGCAGGGTTCCACTCATGACGCCCAACTAGCTCTACATGTTGAGACAGAAGCTCCCGCTCTCGCAGTCGTCATCCAACCGCCATACAATCTGGGCCTGCAACTCCCTCTTCCATCCCCCGCACACACTCCTGCACATAGCGGCTATAGACGTGACACAAGGTTGTCACGTCAGACCAGTCCTTTCAGCTCTGTCCAGGAAGTGCCCCAGCTCCCGAAACTCGACAGGGTGTTGCTACACCTCTACGAAAACATCATATTAATCATACTAGGTCGGCTTGGTGACGGGCTTTTACCTCACAACCCGACTCAAAACGAATGAGCTCATGTGTCGTGCAGGTGTCCTAACTCCTTTTAGGTTGCATCCCAACAGACGCGATAACTGTTTTGCGCACCTGCCCTGCCGTACCAACAAAAAATTAAAGTTTGCGTGCCAGTGTTCCCTTCCAATGTCCTACCGGCCCCTTCACCACCTACCATCTGCAAGGAAAAGCAAGGATTTGTTGGGCTCTAGCTTCACCACATGCGGAAGCTGTGGTGAAGCTTCCGCATTTTACATATATGGCCAAGCCCTAAGAATGACGGCACAGCGATCAAATGTATATCGGCTTTCCGCCGCCCTCTGCCCACCAGGCCGTCAGGAATATACCCTTTAAGCCGGGGGGAATCCCGCGCAGTGAAAGCGGTCATGCTCCGGGCTTCACGCACGCTTCATGATCCCTTGCAGCATATTCTTGCATATTCGTTCGCGTGCAGCGAAGTATTGCATACTTCTCGCCTAATGGCTAAACCCAACCGGAATCCATCTAGGGGAGACGTACGACACAGACGGGCAGAAAAAGCAAGACGTCCGGCCTGCCGTGGCTCTCGCACATAGCTATCTTGCAGTTGTGGATTGCCCGGCAAATAAATAAAGAGATTGTGCTTATTGTGGTTTGTGGAGCTTATCAGGCATGGGTTACGTACACAGCATGCGAAACCAATACTGAGACCATGCATTCGCAGATAGCTTTTTAGGACAAAGCTAGCTAGAGCACACATTGCTACATCGCCTGTATTAGCCACAATCCGCCATTAGGGCTCCATAGCATCAGGAGCGGCAAACAATTTTGTGAATAATCCAGCATCCCCGCACACGCGCTTTCAGACGGCCTTGCCGGGCATTGGTGCCGGATTAGGTTCGACTTAAAAGTACTAAAAACCCTGGCCCTTATCCTTCCACTTGCAATTGCACAGACCATGAAAAAATCAACCCGCATGCAGTATATATATGTGTATAATATATACGAGGAGAACACCCCACGGCTTCCCTGCGCAAGCATGCATGACTGATATCGCTCCGTTTATGTGTATTCGTATTTGTATGTTTGTATTTGTATCAAAGCCAAATGGCTCATGTGCAAGTGCTTTCTTTTTACAGCTCGAGATGAAGCGTCGGATGTATGATTATGCTGGTCGGAAGTTTCCAGACAGTTCGGACGAGATTCCTGCAATACCGGTTGTGATAGCCCACAGGAGATGCTTTGTAAGTCCGGAAATACGTCTGATGGCAATCGACTTATTACCGTTCCTTATTTGCCAAGCTGGCTGGTGTGAGAAACCTGTCCAGCCGCGGTGCCGTACCGGGAAGCCGTACCCACGCACTCTGGCCGTACACATCTCCGTTCAGCAGGAACAGCATGTACCAGCCCGGCGGCGCGATGTTGATGTCGGGAGGGCCATTGAGCACGAGACGACGGGCATCCACGTCCTGGGCCAAAATCTCCAGACCCACCTGGGGGAATGAGGGGCGTTGTTAGTTGCGGGACGATAGGAGGCAACTTGAAGGATGCGGATGCGGCCATGTCAGCTGCGGAATTGGTGGTATGTACGTATGTATGTCCGCCGCAGCGCAAATGTACGACATTGACACGCTACCAACTTTCTAGACCAAGATCGCCACCCGAAGATTCGGTGAGATGGTGGGTATAGGCATAGGATCGACTGAGGCGGGAGGATTATGAAACACAACAGGCAGGGTGCTATTAAAGGGTATTAGAGCACATCGGCGCAAGAGAGCAAAGCCCGAGACATGCTGTGCTCGAAGGGATGTTGCAGCGCAGGTGACACCGATGTAACCACGTCATGAAGATTAAAATGTTTTCGCAATCAGGGGTAATCAGGGGTAACTTCGTCATACACATACAAACACCGATCCACTCCGAGCCATCCCCCCCGGCCGGTGCTACCCGGGCAAGGGAGACCCCATTCACAGTACCAGCCCCAACAACATTGGGCCGACCCACCACTCTCTGGTTCATGTTTGTCGAGTGGGTTGTTGAACCAGGCGAAACCAGCACTGCAGATGTGACCGTGTCGTTTGCATAAAACATGCTGTACTGCAACGCAAAAGGCTCCCCGTACTGCATTACGTTGACGCTGTCGTATTCATCCCACGTGGCGGCATCCATGGAAATGATTTGTGGCTTCGCAGTTACGTTAAACCAGCATGGCGGCCGGAACACCTCGATGCGGTACTCAGCAAAGCTCGTGGGTGACTTGGAGATGCCGCCGGGGGTGGTCCACCAGTACCTGCATAGGGGATGGCATGACGTCATGGCGTCCACACACACACACACGGTGCCTTCATCAGGCAGGAAAACACGCACTTTCTCGAAGTAGCAGTTTGCACTAAGCAGCAATCGTGACATCTTCCAGGAACAGCGAAGGGCCGATAGTTAATGACGGACCTCCACATGCTGTATCCGGGGCGTATCACCGGGTCCCGAGATCCACCGATCGGTTCTTTTCCGAAAATCTTGTGAGACAACAGGTGGTGAAATGGGAGGTGGCCCCCCATCTTGTGGACGGTGTAGGACATGATAAAATCAACTTGCGAGCTGACCAGGAACTAAGTTGAGGCGCCGTTGATCCGCTAGATTTGGTTGGATGCTGGTGGTAAGTTGCTGAACCCAACGAATACACTCTGAAGTCGGATGGGGTGAATGGCTTAGGGTGCCCCTCTAGCAGGGGAGAGCAGGGAATTGCCTCGGGAAGGAAGCCACTGGTGAAGCTTAACCACCCTGTAACAACATCAACACCACGCAAGCAATCTACGTTGCCAGTTGCGGGCCTTTTGTGGATCCTTCCTCCGCAGCTCCACAAACAAGGAGCCCCCAGCAATGCAATTCAGCACCTAAATCAAGCCACCGATACTTGCTTGTCACATCGGTCGCATCCCGCCACGAGCACGGAGCCGTCGGTTGTAAGTGCCGCAGTCGAGTGGTAGAGCCGCGGTATCATGGAACGAGCCATGAGCCGCATGCGGCTTCCAGAAGGCGCATCAGGGTCGTACAGTACGGGCCACAGGTTGGGCTCGTTGGCTCTGGCGGCACCCGAGTTGACGTTATCACCGGCCAGCCCTTTCTGCGAAGGAACCAAGGGCCCCAGGTGTATACAGTTGGTGGCACGGGGTGCGGAGCAGACAATGCTCAAAGGTGTGGGTTCTCATATGACCTGTAATAGGTGCAGGCCGCTGAGAACGCCTCTATAGATGCTGGTGGAGCGCCTCAGCGTGCATTTACAGATGATATGTGTGCCGTACTGTACAACAGCTACTACAGATCCGAATGGATAGAATCAGCGCCCCCATTCATCCATCCTGCCATCGAGGGCTAAATGACCACTTGCGGAAAGACTATGACATTGACAGAAGGAAATGACATTGAAGAGGGAAGGCACATGCATGTCCCTACATGCGCACTTGCACACAGTCCGCGTACCGTACCTCTCCCATGTGGTATGTTGTGTAGCAGAGCATGATGAAAAGCAACGGAACACCGAGCTGTCAAACGAGATGGATATGCAGCATGAAGCTTGCATACTCTTTCAGCAGCCAAGTTACATTTGCGCACCAAGTCCAGCTATCCAGTCACCACTCACCACCGCTCCGTTGAGCACCACAACTTTGCCGTTGGGCAGCACCACCGCATCCCCCATCACGCGAGGCAGAGGCATCTTCTCAGCAGTCCAACCGCCTCCTGGCGCGCGGCGCAGACACCACATTCGGGGACATGAAAGGGGGCTCAGATTGGGGTGCATCGGGCGGCCGACCAAGGCGCATGAAAGGTTACACTTGCAGCTGTAAGCGGGGTATCGGCCCTATTAAAGCAGGCGACTGGGTTTAACAGACGAACGATTTCTGGCGGCAACTGACGGCACTAGAAGCCCTCCACCGGCACCAGCCCTACGTGCTTGCGCCTGTGGGGCTCGGAACACAAACATTCGTTTCATGCGCCCATCGCAACGCAGCGCGCTCCTGAAGCGTCCTAAATAGTTGAGAGATCTGCGCTCATGTGCCACGGTGTCCACGGTGTCGACGCAACTGCCCGCCTCTTGCGTTGGGAAGAATGTTTCTTGCATCATGACAATTACTGATGGACATCGTTGCACAACAAAGTGGCTGATGGATTGAAAAGGAACTGTAAGACTACCACCCGCCCCAAGGCTACCTTCCCACGCTCACCAAAAGAATACAGGTTTGTGGTGGCATTGTACGACACCTTCAACCTCAACGCCAGCCTGCTGGCTGTGGTGTTGATCCGCGCCTTGTCGTACTGACCGCCAAAAACAACCACCTCGGGCGTGTAATTGTTATAGGGTGTGAGCGGCAACATGACACTTGTGCCAGCGTAAGGATACTCGAGCTGCAGATCTCCTGCCACGTTCGACCAACTGGGCAGCTGTACGGCAGACAACAACAGGCCAGAAGTGCATGGCACCGTCATGAAGATAAGCAGCAATGACGAAATAAATGTATCACATATGCATTCCGATGGTGGAAGGTATTGCGCCCCTGGTTGATGGACGGTGGTGACCTGGGATAAAGTTAACCCGCGAGCCGACCAGGAATGGAGTTGGGCCGCTGTCGACCCGGCAGATTCCTTTGGATGCTGGTGGTGGGTGCGGAACCTGAGCGATCCACTGAGAAGTTGACTAGGGTGACTGGATGAGGGTGCCCCGAAATATCGGGGAAGGCAGGGCTTCGCAGGGTAGCTGCCACGGGTGAAGATATACCCCCCTGTTTCACACATCATATAAGTATCTGGTTGGGATTGCGGAAGCGGACCAGGCATGGTCGATGACATGGCTAGTGCGCCCATGGCTCCCTTAAATTCCGTGAGAACTTTTGCTCTATAATTAAGATCTCTTAAGTTAGCCGAGGGTTAGCCGGTTGGGGCCGATGGATGCTGGCAGAGGAACAGTAACCCGGCCTAGGAGCCTGGAAGGGAGGGCCTGCCTCTCTGTCTTACCACGGTGCGCAAGGTGCCACTTAAGGGTTCCGTGATCTCCCCGTATGCAGCGCACATGATTAAAAGGTCGCCGGTGGGTAGCACATACTGCGAAGAGATGGGACAAAAGACGGTTGCAGATGGATGGATGGATGGATGGATGGATGGATGATGGATGGATCGAGGGAATGGAACAAACCGAAGCACAGGTATGTGGCTAATAGTTGGTACGCAGGTGGGGGTATCTGGCCCACAGCTGCCACCATGGAATTTCTACATGCCTTGCAAATTGGCCAGCAAAGGGCACCTGCGTGCTTGGATCGCTGCTCGGGCAGGGCTATCGGACTGGTGCCGCTCTACATCTGGACTGCAGTGAACGTCATCTTCTCTGCGTATCTCCTGGACAAGCTGCTGCACCCTGTTGATTGCGCACCGTATTCGGGTAGTAGATGTCTTTGGTCTGAGAGACCAGCCCTGCCGACTGCCTCCGGACGTCTAGTTGCGTCGGATTAGCCGGATCCCAGATCTCATAAATGGGATTCTTAGCACTACCTGCGGTGCGACAGCGAAGCAAGCAGGCGACATCTCAGCAGCAAATAGCTCTTAGGGAGCGCAACAAGGACCAGGAGCGATGGGGGCCGGCCGATAGAGCATGTTCCGAAGCCACGCAAACTGCTGGCCCATGGCAATACCTCGTCATGTGGGCCGCATAACAACGAAAAGCGATGATCATTGTGGACTTGATCGCCCCTAGCTAGACAGCTATTTCCTCCCGTGCACACCGATCTCATGACTCTCTGAAAAGATGTCCACATACCCGCTCCGGGCAGTACGGTGCCGCCCATAATGGTGACCTTGCCGCTGGGCAGCAGAGTCGCGGTGGGGTACCAGCGGGGGTACGACATATTAGTGATGCGGTACAGAGTAGCTGTCCTGCGGGAGAGAATGCGTACGGCTTTAAGTCCATCACCATAGCCTGATTTGGAGATGTGCCCGCCGACAATCATCACGTGCCCGTCCTGCGCAGCAATTGACAATTACCAGGATCGATGTCGCATCAGTGAAAGATATCTCCGTGATGCTCCTGAGGCATGATGGGATTATGGCATGATGGCCAGAAGGGATCAGCTCCCCTGGCATCTCCCTGAGTACTCTTTGCCTGGTGTTACAGGTAGGGTCTTCTACCAATCAGCAGCAAGGTATTTGTGGCTGGGAAGCTTTGGCCGGTCAAATGACAAGCATGCGGCGATTGCAAAGTATTCCTTTCTTGGAGGAGAGGTTGGTTGCAAGCCTTTCACACCTGCGTTACGGTGTGTCCCGCACAGAACACGGAGTCCGTGTAGTTGATATTGGTGAAGCGGTTGGTTAGGTAGTCGTAATAGCCCACAATATTGCTGCTCCTGTCTGGATGGCGACCGCTGGGGCGCTCCATGAAAAAGAACTTGTCCGTACCAGGAATCAACGACATGTGCACCGCCACAACGTTGCCCACCGCTTTCTGCGGCGATGATTGGATTAGGCCATGTAGGGGGGGGAGGAAGGAGAATGTTGATACTGCAGCCCGTCACGCAGTAGTGCAAGCCTTCAAGCGGCTTTGGCCCGCAAGGAGACTTAGAGCGCACATCCGACACCTTTGAACAAGTTGATTTAGGGGTAGTGACCGCTGCTGGCCGCCCGGCCCCAACCCGACAACAATCCAGCAGTATGCCGTGCAACAGGGCGCACCCAAGACGACCTCTAGATGATGTCACAATTTGTCTGGCTGATAGTGCGGTGTTTACTGTTCTCCGTGGCTTTTAGGCGTATAGGTATCGCCCTTGGGCCTTCGGTTCGTAATGGGTAGTTCTACAGGTATGGGGGTACGCACCCCCAACCATGTCACACACACACACACAATCTGTCTCTCTAGATATAAAATATGTAATGCCTATACATCAAATAGTACAATATAATATTTTTATTATTTTTGTTATTATCATTAAATTATATTTTATTAGTGTATCTCATTTAGAATATACACCGGAACACAGAAAACGGGCCCTAGGTCCCGCCAGTGCCTATCCTGGACTGCTGCTGGCTGCCAGCGGGCACCGGTCACAATGCTGCTTAAAAGTGGCGATCCAAAACAGTGAAATACAAGGCCCACAGTGCTTTGCATGGAAATATTCTACCCTTATAGATACATACTGTATGTTGGTTCAAGATGAGCATCGTGTACATTTCCACTCACCAAAACCCACTGCCCATTTGCCTCAGGATAGTTGTCCATCAAAAGGGGCAGACTGACAGGGCCGTCGTTCCGAAAGGGGACGAAGACATCCGATGCGTCGGTGGCTGTATGGGAAACATCGGAGAAGCAAGCAAGCAGTAAAAACAACTGGCGGCACAAGGCAGTGGCCCTACAGCAGTAGCAGTGACCGTACGGCAGTAGCAGCAGTTGGTATTGTACATACAGCAGTAGCAATGGCAATAGTGTCAAGATAACCTGGAAGGGAATATGCCCCATAAGTTTTTTTTCTGAGTTTGTGTGTGTTAACTCGCTGCTTGTAAAAGCAATAAGCGATCCCGCCTTAACGAACCAAGAGGTACCCATGTGTCGACGCAAAGTTATTCACCGTAATCATCGGAGGAGCTGTTGTAAGGTGGTGAAGCAGGTGGTTTCGGAGGGCTTGGTGCGGGCGAGGGAGGTTGAGGGCTGGGGAAGGGACTGGGGGGCACAGGTGAGGGAGGCATCGGCCTTGGGGAGGGCGGTGGTGGCTTGGGTGATGGAGGCGGCGGCCTCGGTGGCCGTGGAGGGGAGGGCGGCAGCTGCAGGTACGTGCGTGCGAGCATTCCGGCATTTGTTATGTCCCCCAGCACGGATGCGGTCTCGTCCCTATCGACCATCCGGAGGTTCAAGTCAAGCGCAGATGAGCGTTGCAAGAGTCGAGATGGGGCAATTTGCCTTCGGTCCTCCGGAGCAGCGGTAACCGAGCGAGCATTGTCCAGCGCGTACGCTGCAGCTTCCAGAAGTCGGCGACCCCCGGGTGAAACCAGGTCCCGAAATTGGCGCTGTCTGGAGGGACTTAGTGCCGCCGTTGGGTCTGCACTTGACTCATCCGATGTGGCCAAGCTCGAGGCGAGGTGCACTTGGCGTCGAGGTGACGCCAGGCTAGCATTGCAGGTGATGGAAGTGAGGAGGAGGAGGAGGAGGAGGACGAGGGGAACGAACCTAGGGCTGTAGGCAGGTAACATCATCGCTAGATAGCTGCCGTTGACCGAACTGGCCAACCAGGGGAACCAGGAGCTGCGACAGAAGAAAACGTTTCAGTTCGCTGTGTTGAAACTATGTAAGGCGAGGTCCACCTCGATAGTCGTCGGAAGCGAGTACGCTGTAGGTTGTTTGGAGACTGCCCCGAGCCGGCAGTGCGTAAATCTGCACCCAGCTGGGTAGAGACGGCGTTCGTCGACGAGGAGTTCCTTGGCGTTGTACTGCTTATAATAATAAGATTTTCATTCTGTCCGTTGAAGCAAATTTGGTCAATATGACCTTAAGATGTCCACCAGCACTTGAACGGCGCAGAGACGACTACAGTAGAGGCAGGTGAGGTAGGCGAAGCAAACTGTTCAGATTGTAAAACATATGGTGGCAAACATACATACAGCAATCTGATGGCGAACTGTTATTGGCTTAACCAGCAGCAGGGCTTCTGGTTGCCGCTGCAGTGAGACCAGCGGCCGCTAGTCGCCCTACTTTGCTGCGGTGCGGTTAATCAGCGCCGGGAGACAGGAGAATGGCTTACCGAACGAACACGGCTATCAGGTGCCACTTTATATGACTCTTTTCACACGTTTTTTTATGCAGTATCGTAGCGTAAGCCTGACATCATGTGCTTTGGTACGTCCGGTGCGAAGATCCAATACGTTGTAATCGATGAAAACAAAATAGTAGAGATAATTATAGCAAAATCCCTGGGAGCGCTTGCATGACAAATTCCAGTATGCAGGACTTCCGTGAAGCGGTTGTCGACCTTTTGGCGGTAAGCATTAGCTGCTTCAGCCGTCGCATTACGTGCTGGTCTGTCTCGCTGCAGTACACTTTTGGTGAACATAAAGGGTCACCCGAAGGTACACCGTGTGGTAAGGCATTAGCCAACGCCGTAATGAAAGGTTTGGGAAAGCACAGTGCGAAGACCTCAACGGCGGGCGCGCTCCGCGGCGTTGTCGATGCAGCTGAAACATGCCAAAACTCGCCTTCGTGCCTTTTACATACATAACGCTGAAGCCCTTTTATCAAGCTAAGATCTATCCGATGGTGACACTACTGCGCTACGCACGTCCGAAAACGTTTCCGAAAAACCATTTGGCCATGCACGGCGGCTCAGCGCCGTGGCAGTAGAAGGCCACCGGGGAAGGAGCGGGATGACAAAAAAGGAAAAAGAGGCTTTAGCGAAAAGTAAACAAGGTATTACTGAACACCTTGTCCTGTTGTAAGATTCAACATGTTGTGTGTCTATCACGGAGCGGGTAGCGGCGTTCGATGCCGAACGGACCTCTAGAAGCGGCCAATACTGCTGATGCCGTACATTGGTTGCACCTACAATGGTTAGCTGTTGCTTCGACTGAATGCAATTTTGACAATTTCAGGTCTGGCTGCCGAAGAGAGAGGGGATCTGAAGAGAAGACAGGAGACGCCGAGTGAATACGGTACAGCGAGGGTGCTTCACCGGTAGGGCGGGCCGACGTGTGTGCTGAAAAACAAACAAAGATTAAGAGAATAAATCAACCACGTGAGTTTTGTGTGGCCTTGAGGGCACGGTCCATTGCGGACCAGCCGTACTGCTGATTCCTAAGGGAAGCCCCGTCGCGTTTTAGCTAGCCTAGCTTATGCCAGCACGCAAGTACGCATTGTTTCACAAAACTCTTATAAATGTTCACCGCTTAACTTTATGGAAGTGAACAGAAGTAAGGCCAGGTGACGAACTGCTTCCACCTCGGCAGCTTATTATCCAGCCTTTATCTTTGTAATGCTTCCACGAAGTTCTCCACAGCTCTTTTATTCTGTATGTCGTTTGCCTTTTGCTTGCTTTATCTTTTAGCTATATGCCCTGCGGTGCGCGGCGGTTGCAACTGCGAGGCAGGCGGGGTAGGGGGCGGGCGCTGCGACGACGAAGGATGAGGAGCGCTCAAGCATCTAACCAGCAGCACGTTTTGGGAAAACATCATATTGCGTCAATATATTGTGTCGAAGCACGCTAAGCAGACATGAAATGGTAGGTGTGTTTTCTGAGGGAGCTGTGAGCCTCACCATCATGAAATCACACGACTATAGACATCAGATGAGGCCCCGTACTTCCTTACGGACTGTATAAACCTGTAAAGCACTGAAGAGCGAGGGCGCATTACTTTGAATGCAATTTGATTTCAGCCTGCTCTTTTCCGGCTACTGCCCAGACATCCCGAGGCGTTCATTTCATATCGGGAAAAACCCACTGCAGGAAGTACCGCCGACGGTACGCCGTTTGGGCTCCGATTCGTGAAGGGTTCCTCATGCGCGCTTTCTATTATAAGTTGGCGTCCTGAAATATGTTTTGGGCAAATGCTCGCCGTGGTAATGTCCGTCGTAATGAGCAGTCGGTGCAGCTGCACACACACAAACAAAAAAACACCTGAGCAGACGAGGCTGAACATCTGGATCGCAAGTGGTCCCACCGCAGCCCTATCGTTACCTTTGGTCCTTCGTCTCATTTATCATTTCGTTTGTCTGAAGTGCAAGGTAGGACGGTGCTTATAGGCGATCTGGCAGCCCTTGAGCCCTTGTAATGGGCGGATTGCAGGTACGAGGTACGCACCCCCACGACCATGTAACACACACACACAGACACACACACAGACAGTACGTGTATGATGTTGATGATCTACCGGGGGGTTCGTAAACTATCTGGCCCTTGAAACACGCCGGGAGCCTGCTGGGAAAGCCGGCTGAGTAGTGGGTGGGTAGGACGCATTGAAGAGACTTTCCTAACGATTGTGGGCCGCTGCCGGATACATGCTGCATGATGGGTGCGCAGCCCCAAACGAGGCCGATCGCCACGGGATAGGATAAGGACACGTAGCCGTATGTAAATACCTTGCTGCAACAAGAGTCCGCATCCAGCCGCCTTACCAGCGGGAGTAAGTCCTTTCATAGCGGGCTAGGTAGGATTATCACCCGTGCACGGCTGCACACTAGCAGACTTGTATGTGCCGAAGCCAACACATCGACGGACAAAGCGGCCACTAATCAAAGACATGCACCCTCGTAGTATGCTAATAAAAAAGATAAGGAAGGAGCCACCCGGCATTGAGGATAAAGATCGCTCAGCGAAGGGGCCTGCCCGTCATGTTGCATCTCTCTCTGTGCGCACACGAATGTAGCGCCAGCAGACCTCTATAACCGCATTGCAAAATGTTAATGACCAACGGCCGGCAGGACGACTAAATGACACTGGTCGGTTGTTATCGGAAATATTCATCCATGCGCCTTAACATACGTGTCGATGCTTACTCTATGGGAGGCAGGCGGCATACATAGACACACAAACAGGAGCATGCATGATAGCGCCGGCCTTTCAGCGCCAATCCTTGCCTGGCTGCTTTCCATCCTAAGGCACGTCTGTACCACAAACAGACCAGCGTCAAACACCCGCACTCGCCCGCTTTCCTCAACAGCACCCGCCCACCAGCAGACCCGCGCAGCCTGCAATGCTATAGCAGAAAATTGAAGCAAATAACAGAATTAATCGGCTATGCTTATGATGGAACCCAAACATATGCGTGTCTAAGAATGGTCTCTGCTGGATTCCGGAACCAACCACCAGCAGGTTAAAGGGGTCAGATATGCCCCATGAAAATTCCACGGTATAGAGGTCTATCATATAAACACAAAACAGCAGGATTGGGGGAAGAAGACGTCCCGATCTCGTGCTCTTTTGGCAGTCATTACCCATCAGCGCTGGTAGCCGTAACGTTGCGAAAGTTACGAAACCGTTTCGGGGCCTCGATGGCAACTTCTAGGAGAATAACGACGTGCAGGAAAACGCCCACTGCAACCGCCAACGGACCTCCGTCAGCAACCGCCAAACAATTGCTGTTGCGCCTCTAAAAGTTGCTGTTGTTGTATTAATGATATGCTGCTGGTCTGGCCCACGCGATGTCCTCTCATCCAGACTACAAACTCCGTTTCAATGCACTCAAAAGTAATAGAGCAGCTCCCACGGCAACCTCAAACGGACACAGACCACGGGACGTGCGCGTGGCGAGTGCGTACAAGCGATTTCAAGGACACATCCAGCAGTGCAATAGAAAAGCAAACATTAAAGCGAACAAGGAACAGAAGGGGCGCCAAGAAGAAAGCGACATGTATACACTCGTCTGTAAGATATATATAAAGGACAATCCTGGCTGACTGTATGTATGTATGTTGCTGCGGGTTTGCGATGGTGATGCCCCTGTATGCCCCAACTTTGCCAACCAACAACTACCCAGCTAGCCATTCCGAATATATGGCTGTTATGACAAACAAGTCCGCAGGTGTACTCGAATACCTGCAAACAAAACTAATCATGTGACCTCCTACTTTGCTCGTTGCTGAGTGCATGCTTCGTATGTGTTCTCGCTCTCGCGCTTTTCCCCTCGCCAGGAACGCGCCAGGCGGGCGGGCAGCTGCTGGCTGCCCACCCGCCGCTTCCCACCTTCCGTAGTGCACAGCACGACAGCACGCCAGCCTCTGACTCTGAATAAATAAATACGCAGCAGATGCACTGTGTGCTAGCTCACGCATGCAAACATGCGCCTGCACACAAAACCTATGAATATACATCAAGACAATGGCTTTTTTAAGTCGCTATATCGTCGGCGTACTGTTCTATGCAACAAAGACATCAATGACGTGGCAGCAGAGATAAATTTGGGTACTGCTACCAGGAGGATCGCGGATGAGCATTCGTGGAAAAAATTAGGAACATCAAAAAACCAAGAGCAGTCATTCTGAGAGCTGTGATTTGAGGTGATTGATTTAACGATATTCCGTACACCTCACCTCACGCACACATACGCAAGAGGAAAAGTCTCCTTGAGTAAGACTTGAAGGGGCCCCGGGGGCTGATACCTGCTGATGAGTCTATGTGGCCAAGCTGGCTGGTGTGAGAAACCTGTCCAGCCGCGGTGCCGTACCGGGAAGCCGTACCCACGCACTCTGGCCGTACACATCTCCGTTCAGCAGGAACAACATGTACCAGCCTGGCGGCGCGATGTTGATGTCGGGAGGGCCATTGAGCACGAGACGACGGGCATCCACGTCCTGAGCCAAAATCTCCAGACCCACCTGGAGGTGTGAGGGGCGTTGTTAGTTGCGGGACGATAGGAGGCAACTTGAAGGATGCAGATGCGGCTATCTCAGTTGCGGAATTGGTGGTATGTACGTATGTATGTACGTATGTATGTCCGCCGCAGCGCAAATGTACGACATTGACACGCTACCAACCTTCCAGGACAAGATGGCTACACGAAGATTCGGTGAGATGGTGGCTCCGTGGCTAAGGGTGGTCGATGGCGGTGTTTTCTTCAGCAGACCTCTCAGACATTCCTGAAGTTCAGCTTTCGCCCTTCTGGGCCATTCTCCATGTCCGCCCTCCGCACACTGGATTGCCTCTTTCAAAACCTCATGTCTCTTTCAAAACCCCCTCAGCCCCAACAACATTGGGCCGACCCACCACTCTCTGGTTCATGTTGGTCGAGTGGGTTGTTGAACCAGGGGAAACCAGCACTGCAGATGTCACCGAGTCGGTTGCGTAAAACATGCTGTACTGCAGCACAAAAGGCTCCCCGTACTGCATTACGTTGACGCTGTCGTACTCATCCCACGTGGCGGCATCCATGGAAATGATTTGTGGCTTCGCAGTGACGTTAAACCAGCATGGCGGCCGGAACACCTCGATGCGGTACTCGGCGAACATGGTAGGTGACTTGGAGATGCCGCCCGGGGTGGTCCACCAGTACCTGTCGCAAGGACACATCTTTGTACATCTGGTGGAGTGCAGAGGACTACAGTAATCCTTGGAAAATATAAAGCTCCATACAAACAGGTCGGCCTCGCGGTGTATGGCTACATCCTTGCACAAAAGACGGAGGACCATCTTCCCGTCCTAACCTGGGGGTACCAGGCGCGAGTGCGCCAGTTAGGCCCAGCTACCCAGATAGGTTTTTCACTCATATGACGGCATAGTCCTTTGTTTCAAAATGTCGTACATTATGCCAACTATGAGGTGTGGGCAGTAGACGTCAGGTGCGCCCGAACCTCAACCTCTTTTCCTGGACAACCAACATTGCCTAATCAAGCAGCGCGTCGGTCGCCGAAACCTGTCGGAGTCCGCCTGACTCGTGAGGTTTTTTTTCATAAATGGATATTGCCGATGCCACAAATAAATTTAATAAAAATGCATGAACCTTGACTTTTTCCGTTCCAAGAGGAAACTCATGATGCCGGGAACGTGACCGCAATCAACAGTACATGAGCCGGAAATCGACTGCACCGCAAAATCGCTTTTTCACGTGGGGGAAATATTCCTTCAAACGTTAGATGGCTGTCTGATTTCCAATTCAGGGCATTCCATAACCGCGAATAGTCGTCTGTCGAAGCTTTTGAACGGAACTTACGAGGCTCGAGAACTTCCGCCGGGGCACCGCCTTTCTGAATACCGGATTTAGGCACACTGCCACTGCCGCTTAGCAAACAAGAGCTAAGCCACCGATACTTGCCTGTCACATCGGTCGCATCCCGCCACGAGCACGGAGCCGTCCGTTGTAAGTGCCGCAGTCGAGTGGTAGAGCCGCGGGATCATGGAACGAGCCATGAGCCGCATGCGGCTTCCAGAAGGTGCATCAGGGTCGTACAGTACGGGCCACAGGTTGGGCTCGTTGGCCTTGGCAACACCGCCCGAAGCGCTGTCGCCCGCCAGCCCTTTCTGCGGGGCGGTAGAGCACCGGAGAAGCAGAGTACGTGAGGGGCCGGTCGTACATAAGCACATACGGGCAGGATGACATAGCACCGTAAGCAAGCGTACAGCCACATTGTTTATTCCCGCCTTCCTCCATCAATCGCAGCACGACAGTCGCCACTCACCACCGCTCCGTTGAGCACCACAACTTTGCCGTTGGGCAGCACCACCGCATCCCCCATCACGCGAGGCAGAGGCATCTTCTCGGCAGTCCAACCGTCACCTGCAATTGAAGCAACCGAACCGCGAAGGAAAAGTAAGGGTTTGTGTGTACTACTGCTACACTGCTGCTTGCTAAAACATTCTGTCGCTGACTCCTCCGCTGGATGGATCCCTCCAGAGGGGCTGCCGAAGCTCTGCGAAGAAGAGCTTCTGCACAGAGAATAGCAGAGCCCGGTACAGTGTGCGCCACCAACTAACTGCGAATGTGCACCACCAACTAACTGCGAATATGCGCCACCAACTAATTGCGAATATGCGCCACCAACTAACTGCGAATGTGCACCACCAACTAACTGCGAATATGCGCCACCAACTAACTGCGAATGTGCGCCACCAACTAACTGCGAATATGCGCCACCAACTAACTGCGAATATGCGCCACCAACTAACTGCGAATATGCACCACCAACTAACTGCGAATGTGCGCCACCAACTAACTGCGAATATGCGCCACCAACTAACTGCGAATGTGCACCACCAACTAACTGCGAATATGCGCCACCAACTAACTGCGAATATGCGCCACCAACTAACTGCGAATATGCGCCACCAACTAACTGCGAATGTGCGCCACCAACTAATTGCGAATATGCGCCACCAACTAACTGCGAATGTGCACCACCAACTAACTGCGAATATGCGCCACCAACTAATTGCGAATATGCGCCACCAACTAACTGCGAATGTGCACCACCAACTAACTGCGAATATGCGCCACCAACTAACTGCGAATGTGCGCCACCAACTAACTGCGAATGTGCACCACCAACTAACTGCGAATATGCGCCACCAACTAACTGCGAATGTGCACTACCAACTAACTGCGAATATGCGCCACCAACTAACTGCGAATATGCGCCACCAACTAACTGCGAATGTGCGCCACCAACTAATTGCGAATATGCGCCACCAACTAACTGCGAATATGCGCCACCAACTAACTGCGAATGTGCACCACCAACTAACTGCGAATGTGCACCACCAACATATGAGTGACAGGAAAGAACCAGATGGTTCATGGCACCCTGCAAGGTGAAGCGGGTGGCGGCATGGAGCATTGGCTCCTGGGGAACTGAGGTGTATGGCTACTGCAGCCGATCGGCCGGTGCTTCCGTCCGATATCGCCGATGATAACATCATGGCAGGCTTACTCCCCTTAAGTCGGATGCGCTCACCGAAGGAGTAGGCGCCCGAGACCTGATCATGAAGCACCTTGATCCTGAGCGCCAGCCTGCTGGCTGTGGTGTTGATCCAGCCCCTGTCATGCTGACCGCCAAAGATGACCACCTCAGGCGTGTATCCATTCTCGGGTGTGAGCGGAAGCATGGCGCTGGTGCCCGTGAAGGGGTACTCGGTTCGAATGCCTCGGGCGATTGAGGACCAGGAGGGGAGCTGTGAAGAGCGGAGGGGGGGGAGGGGACGGAAGGACGGACGGGGAGGACGGCGGAACGAGCCCACACACCACAAGAGAAGACGAAACGTTTCAACAGCAGCGGAGGCAGAACACAGTCAGTGAGTGCCGGGATGCCGCAGAATAAGGGCTGGCATAGGGAGCATCAGCGTTCAGACGATTCAAGTTCAATTAAGCATTAGGCTGTCCACAGAGCTGTATACCAAAATCGGGCATCATCATCAAAAAGTCACGGGCTAACTTCACCAGAAGACAAAGTCCCTATCGATCCTCATTGAAAACAATATCCCCTCATGGCCACCAGCTGTGCAAGGACCTGAGGCAGAGGCTTCATCATCGCTACCGTTCACTCCTCCGAGCAGCTGAAGCCCCCATCATCTACTGAGCCCCCACAAGTTAGGAATGCGCTCCTGCCTCCCGGCTGACCTAGCAAAACGGGGTACAGCAGCACCGCTCCGATGCGAGAAGCAATCCCATCACACATTTCACTCACCAAAGCACGAACGTCGCCCGTCATGGGCTCTATAATCTCGCCGTACGCATTGCAGAAGATGAAGAGATCGCCTGTAGGCAGTACGTACTGCAAGGTGAGGGGGAAAGGTTGTTAGGTTCCATAAAATAATAGTCAGCTGTTCCATAAGTTAGTTAGTCAGCTGACGGTTGACCTTGTGAGCAGCACTATGAGGAAAGTAGCTGGAAATCGCGCTCACCGTAAAGGGGTAGTAAATGTCGTTCGAGTTCGCGATTAAGCCCGGAGACTGCTTCCTCAGCAGCAGTTGCGACGGGGTCTCCGGTTCCCAGATCTCGTAGATTGGGTTATTGCCGGTGCCTGCACGCACGTGCATGCGGCGACCGATTACCATTGGACAGTTTAAATAGCGCATAAGGCTGTGTGTTCGGGTTCTCTTTGTACCATCAAACCTATAGGTAAAAGATCCGATGGAATCCAATGTCACGGGACTTCTATAATGCGCAGTCCGCGAAAGCCCTCGCTAGGGCGAGGAATAATTCAAAGCAAAGCTTAGTAGTAATTTTTAAATGTATCGAGCACTTGAAATATACCTGATCCGGGCAGTACGGTGCCGCCCATAATGGTGACCTTGCCGCTGGGCAGCAGAGTCGCGGTGGGGTACCAGCGGGGGTACGACATATTAGTGATGCGGTGCATTGTAAGTGTCCTGCGGGAGAAGATGCGGACGGCTTTGAGCCCGTCGGCGTAGCCTGATTTGGCAATGTGCCCACCAACCACCATCACGTGGCCGTCCTGGAATGGGGGAGAAACAAGTGGGGGGCAAAGGACGTGGGAATGCAGGCTCGCTCTCACTCTCACTCGGAGGAGGGGGAGGGTTGAAACTATGGGGGGACAAGAACGGCTCCTTGAGGGGTGCCAGCAGGCGTGGCTTGCGTTTACTCAAGGCCCTGGCCTCATCTGCTCATAAGTCCCGGTATGACGCATCCGCTCTGGAGTGCCTGGAGCGCCGTGCACACATTCCCACATCCCATGTGTTGCCATTGGAGGCCAGCAGATCTGATACCGCCGTCTTCATCGCCGCCTGAGACCGCATTCCACTCATGGGCGTCAACTTACAAACCACAAATGCTGCGCCCTTGCCGTCCAAGCCAGCTAGCAGGCCGGACAGCCGGCCAGACATAACCCAGCTTCCGGACATCACTCGTACGCACCCCGCTACCTGTCGTACACACCTGCGTTACGGTGTGTCCCGCACAGAACACGGAGTCCGTGTAGTTGACGTTGGTGAAGCGGTTGGTTAGGTAGTCATAATAGCCCACAATATTGCTGCCCCTGTCTGGATGGCGACCGCTGGGGCGCTCCATGAAGAGGAACTTGTCCGTACCAGGAATCAACGACATGTGCACCGCCACAACGTTGCCCACCGCTTTCTGCGGCGGCACACGAAGACGTGTTAAGACAGCGTTGGTTTGTACGTTACGGAAGTTAGCTGTTGGTTAGCTGTTGGTTAGCTGTCAGGTTGCCGGTTTTGTTAGTTTCTATCCGTTTGGCTTCACCTGCTTTTGCCAATCACCACCTGCCGTCACCCAAAACCTTCCCACCTTACCATTTCTCCTCGCTTTCGCGTGCGTGCTCTCCAAACCCCGCAATACATGCACAATCTTACCGCCCTTCCCTCCCCTTTCCTGGCCACGCGACCTGTGTTTCCGCGACCTTGTTACGCTGGCGCGACTCACCAAGACCCACTGCCCGTTGCTCTGCGGGTCGTTATCCGGCAGCACAGCTGGAAGAACTATCATCTCGGTGCCCAGGGTCACATCCGCGCCTTCGTCCGAGGAATAGTAATCGCCGGAGAAAAGGACTGTACGGCACAAGGGAGGAATGTACGACAGACAGGGAGCCCCATCCGTGAAACACAGTTGCAAAGCTCTTTGAAGCGCGTTTTGATATGCCAGGAAGGAAAAACGTGTTCGGTCAAGCAGAGAAGGTAAGGCACGGGGTAAGGGAGAAGGAGCTAGGCAGTACAAACAACAACATCGACGCCGTCGGGTCCTCTCAATGCTCTGGATTTCATCACCGCGGGCGAAGTTGGATTCCGTTATGAGTAGATCCCTCAAGTCGCTCGCTTATGCTGCTGGTCAAGGCACTGCGGCCACCGAGCACAGGCATCTACAGCTACCCCGAGGGCGGCGAGAATGAGAGGTCTGCTGACTAGGGTTCATTCGCCCCCACGTAGACCTCGAGTCGACCGCCTCCTGGGGGCGGGGAGCCTGTGGCTGCTGCTGCTGCTACTTTGCGCATCTTATCTGTCCTGTGGCCGAAAGTGTCCTAACTGACCGGTGAACCTTTTAATCACCAGTGCCTCCCCAGTGCCTAATTAAGCCATAGCACCGCGGGTTCTACCATCATACCTTCCCCCGAGGCCTTGGAGGACAGTGCGGGGGCTCGGGGTATCCAGGGGGGGTTCCTCGGCCTGGGCGGTGAAGGCGGCCGACGTGGAGGGGGCGGCGGCCTGGGCGAAGGCGGCGGGCGAGGCATCTGGGGGGGCTTAGGCGGCGGTGAAGGAGGTCTTGAAGGCGGCTGAGGACGCCTTGGCGGACTCCTGGGGCGCCGTGGCGGCAGCCGTTGTACGGAAGGCGATGCGTTGAATGAATTCTGCGGGGAGCCTTGAACCTGGGGAGAGCTAGCGGGTAATGGTTGCACTGTAGCTGGAGGCTGTTCGGGAGGCGGCGGTGGCGGGAGTGGCGGCGGTGGCGGCGGTGGCTTTGGTGACGGCGATGGAGGCGGAGGAGGCGATGGCTGCAGCGGAGCCGATGGCTGCAGCGGAGCCGATGGCTGCAGCGGCGGCGGTGGAGGCAGCAGCGGCGGTGCCTGGGGTGGCGAGGCGGTTACCGATGCGGGTAGCCACGGATACGACGGCAGCGGTGATGGAAGCGGCGGCGGTGGTGATGGTGGCAGTGATGGCGGCGGCGACGAGTCCGCCACACCGTCAGCATTCCGTGTCGACTCTGGCAAGTCAGATCCGTAATCCCAATCCGGTTCTGGAAGCGATGGCGACGACGGCGACGGCGGTGGCGGGGCCGGCAATGGTTGACTTTGGCTGCCCCGCTGCACGGTACGGCCGAAGACCGGCGGGCAACTGCTGACTGGCGCGTCCCCTCGGGGGTAGAGGTTGGCGTCGCAATCCATGGAGGACAGCAGCACCCAGCGGCGGCCCCTTGCATCTGTACACGTCACGTCGACCGCGTGATCCCCATCACAGTCCGCGTAGCGAATGATGGCAGTCGCGTATGTGCACCATTCCCGGAAGAGAATACTGCAGCCTGCATGGCAACCACGGAGCCGCCCGGAACAATAGCAGCTCGGAATACGGTACAACGGCGGATTGTTTTTGCTTGTGCACTAGGAAAGGCTCACGTTGCTGGATGGGAGGGACCGGAAGTGTCGACAGAACGGATGCCGTACATGTCTTATAATACTTATATTTGTACATGCTGTACGCCCTGGCAAGCTTTAGGGAAGCCGGACGATCGTGACATGGCCCCTGACGGGAAGGGCACCGCAAGTTTTAAGGCTTCCATCCATGCGTAATGCAACGCACCCATCCTGCGCACCTTTGCCGTTTGCGGCGAGATAGTAATTAGCGGTCGGTTGTGGGCTGGTCCCCAGGAGCGGTGATGGCACCGAGGAAGGGCCCATCCTTGAGGAAAGCTGGCGCGCAGTCGCTGCTGGTGTGCCCGAGGGCAGCGAACTCTCAGGCAGTGGTGACGACGATGCGTCGTAGACTACAGGACAGCTGCTAACGGCCGCCTGCCCATTGCCACTCGTGCTGACGTCACAGCCTAATGACGATAACACTGTCCATCGCCGGCCCGCGCCATCCGAACACGTCAGGTCCTGGAAACCGTCGCCGTCGCAGTCCGCTACACGCACCGTTGCACTTCGATGGTTGCACCAATTGCGCCCGTCGTGGCTGCAGTCTGCAAGACGGACATTTTCGTTCAGGGCCGATTCACAGCCAAATCGGTTTAGGTGCGTAGGGATAAATCCCGGCATCGCAGAAATCTATAATAGGACTTGCCATACATAATGACCACCCGCACAGTCTATAAATGTACTTAAGCGGGTTGCGCCATGGCTGTCGATTCTCGCTTTTCAGAAGCGCACAGGAACTATTGTGCGCTGCGAGTCTGCCTTACCTTTCCTGTTCGCTGCCAGGTAGAAATTTGGGTCGGCTGTATCTATAAACTGCATCGCCTGTGGCTGCCTCGCATGTGTGCGCAAAGCTTGTCCGTGCGTATCGTGAGCTGATCTTCGCGTTGCGAGTGCTGCCGACACACGCAACGCCGAAAGCAGAGCGGCGAAGGCGGCAGCCGCCACGAT